GCTTTAGCTTTAAACCTCGACAAGATTCTGAAGCGTTTCGTACAGTTAATTCAGGATGAAGATACTCATTTTATACTTCCTGTGCGTAATGATATACAAAGTTTGTTCTATGCTCAGGTGTGTTTATGTTGCTTCTTTTTAATTAATATATCTTTATACCAGCTGTATAATATTATTGATCAAATAGCGCAGAATGTGCATACATTTCTCAGATCTCAGAAACGAAATAGGGTTGCCCTGGTTGGCAGGAAAATGTGACCACATCGGTAACATGTGTCATAGTCTGCAAGTTATAGCCTGCAGAGGGCAGGATAACACATTCCTTTATTTTGCTGTAATTAAATGCTCCCAAGTCAATGCAATATACCTTCTGTCAACACCAATCCCTTGCTTTTCTTTCAAAGTGACACCGAAACCCCCGGTTGAGGAAAAGCCAACAAAGCCAGCTCCTGAAGAGAGTGGCGCCCCTCCTCAAGAACCAACTGCGCCGAAGGACAAGACACCCCCACCTCCAACCTCCGGCAACAAGGAGCCAGAACCATCACCCCCAGAAGGGCCAGGTGTGTTCATTTTATAAGATTATATAAACCTGAAGTATACTGCTATTGATCAAATCAAACAACGGGACTTAATTTGTTAGATCTCAGAAACTACTTAAGACTTTCTTATGGATAGGTGTTGGATAGGTGACAATCTGTGTAACAGATGTCATAGGCTGAATATTTACAATATAGACTTCACAGAGCAGAATGCCACACCTCTTAATTGTGATGTACGTCCATGCTCCCTCATCAGACGTTCATTAAACCCCACTGAATAGCATGATGAAGGAATGTAAAATAAACCCCCCAACGCAGACACCGTGGGGAGGATTTAATTGAGCAGTGTATTGGCAAACAGATATACATGATTTAGTATAACTTTCAAGTAAATTATTCCTAATGCAAATTGAAAGTATCGACTGAAGCTTGCTTACAACATTTTACAAGGTTCAACTGAAAATTCATGAGCAATCTAAATTCTGTCAACATCCATTCCTTGCTTTTCTTTCAAAGTGACACCCAAACCCCCGGTTGAGGAAAAGCCAACAAAGCCAGCTCCAGAAGAGAGTGGCGCTCCTCCTCAAGAACCAACTGGACCGAAGGACAAGACACCCCCACCTCCAACCTCCAGCAATAAGGAGCCCGAACCATCACCCCCAGAAGGGCCAGGTGTGATAAATTTTATAAGATTATATATATACAGGAAGTATACTGCTTATGATCAAATAAAACAACGGGACTTAATTTGTTAGATCTCAGAAACTATTTAAGACTTGCTTATGGATAGGTGTTGGATAGGTGACAATCTGTGTAACAGATGTCATAGGCTGAATATTTACAATATAGACTTCACAGAGCAGAATGCCACACCTCTTAATTGTGATGTACTTCCATGCTCCCTCATCGGACGTACAATAAACCCCACTGAAGAGCATGATGAAGAATGGTAAAATAATCCCCCAACGCAGACGTCGTGGGGAGGATTTCATTGAGCAGTGTATTGGCAAACAGCTATACATGATTTAGTATAACTTTCAAGTAAATTATTTGTAATGCAAATTTAAAATATCGACTGAAGGTTGCTTACACCATTTTAGAAGGTTCAACTGAAAATTCATGAGCAATCTAAATTCTGTCAACATCCATCCCTTGCTTTTCTTTCAAAGTGACACCCAAACCCCCGGTTGAGGAAAAGTCAACAAAGCCAGCTCCAGAAGAGAGTGGCGCTCCTCCTCAAGAACCAACTGGAGCGAAGGACAAGACACCCCCACCTCCAACCTCCGGCAACAAGGAGCCAGAACCATCACCCACAACTCCAGGCCCAGGTACCATATTGGAATTAGTTGCAAAATCAAGTATGGATAATATATTAAATGCAATCATATGTTCAATTCAAGCCACCATATGCTCCGGTAGGGTCGGGACATTGCCGGTTACAAAAGTCTATCGTAGGTTCCTGAAGCATTGTAAAAGTGTGATTTTGTCCTGCTTTATAGTCTTCTGGTCCCATACTTGGCTCATTTTACTGGAACAGGGTGGGACTAATGAACTCTAGGCTGGGTTCGTAGCGGAATAGGAGTAACTTACCGAGCAGTAGGTCAGCTTGTTTCCGAAACTACCAACTATGTGGGAAGTGCTGGTGATTAAGGCAGCGCATATACGTAAAAGTGGGTCATGCTAACAGAAGGATTTGGCAGCTCACTGTTCTTTAGCTTTGAGCCTCCACAACATTCTAAAGGTTTACGTACGGCTACTTCAGGTTGAAGAGTCTCATTGTATACTGCAATGCAATCTATAGAAACTCAAAACTCCTTACCTGTCCTAACAAACATTATTTTGGTGATGATGATTATGCGTATTATATTATGCAATACACACCATAATTCACGTATATTTTTTGCAGAATGGATTGTTCCTGCAACACAGCAACCAATTGAGGCTACAAAACCAAATGAAACACCCACCAAACAAGGTAAGGATTGGAGTGTGGTAAGATAGTCTTGAGGCCTGTTTTAATGCATACCAATGGTTTCAATATTTTACAAAATCTGTTTGAATTTCATCACTGATTAATGTTATATGTTTGCAGAAGATTGTGCTTTAGGCTGGTCTGAGTGGTACGATGATCAATATCCTGATGAAGAAAATGGCGGAGATGAGGAATCCTACCAAAAGATTATAGACTCGGGGAGAGAGGTCTGTCTGCCTGACTCATCAGTGGAAAAAATTGACTGCAAAGCAGAAAGATTCCCGAATACCCCATGGCAGGAATTGGGCCAGACGATCACTTGTGACCAGAGCACAGGCTTGAAGTGCTTCAATAACGATCAGGACTATTTGCCATGTTACAACTACAAGATCAGATTCTGCTGCTCCAGAGCAGGTGGACCCCCTGCACCAACTCCATCTAAAGCAAGCCCAGGTACCATTCTGAATGCTAAACTCATTTATTGTGCTGTACGTCCATGCTCCCACGTCTTTTAAATGTACGTTCTTTCAACATCTATATCTTGATTTTCTTTCAAAGTTGAGGAAAAGCCAACAAAGGCAGCTCCAGAAGAAAGTGGCCCGTCTCCTCCAGAACCAACTCCATCGAAGGAGAAGTCACTCCCACCTCCAACCCCCGGCAACAAGGAGCCAGAACCATCACCCCCAGAAGGGCCAGGTGTGTTACATTTGCAAGTTTAAAAAATATATTTTTAAGTTCATACCGGCCATATAATACCTACGATCAAATAGCGCAGAATGTGCATACATTTCTCAGATCTCAGAAACGAAATAGGGGTGCCCTGGTTGGCAGGAAAATGTGACCACATCAATAACATGTGTCATAGTCTGCATGTTATAGGCTGCAGAGGGCAGGATAACACATTCCTTTATTTTGCTGTAAATACATGCTCCCAAGTCAATGCAAAATACCTTCTGCCAAAACCAATCCCTTGCTTTTCTTTCAAAGTGACACCGAAACCCCCGGTTGAGGAAAAGCCAACAAAGCCAGCTCCTGAAGAGAGTGGCGCTCCTCCTCAAGAACCAACTGGACCGAAGGACAAGACACCCCCACCTCCAACCTCCAGCAACAAGGAGCCAGAACCATCACCCCCAGAAGGGCCAGGTGTGTTCATTTTATAAGATTATATATACAGGAAGTATACTGCTTATGATCAAATCAAACAACAGGACTTAATTTGTTAGATCTCAGAAACTAATTAAGACTTGCTTATGGATAGGTGTTGGATAGGTGACAATCTGTGTAACAGATGTCATAGGCTGAATATTTACAATATAGACTTCACACAGCAGAATGCCACACCTCTTAATTGTGATGTACTTCCATGCTCCCTCATCGGACGTTCAATAAACCCCACTGAATAGCATGATGAAGGAAGGTAAAATAACCTCCCGAACGCAGACACCGTGGGGATGATTTAATTGAGCAGTGTATTGGCAAACAGTTATACACGATTTTGTATAACTCTCAAGTAAATTATTCGTAATGCAAATTGAAAGTATTGCCTGAAGGTTGCTTACAACATTTTACAAGGTTCAACTGAAAATGCATGAGTAATCTGAATTCTGTCAACATACATCCCTTGCCTTTTCTTTCAAAGTGACACCGAAACCCCCGGTTGAGGAAAAGCCAACAAAGCCAGCTCCAGAAGAGAGTGGCGCTCCTCCTCAAGAACCAACTGGACCAAAGGACAAGACACCCCCACCTCCAACCTCTGGCAACAAGGAGCCAGAACCGACACCCCCTGAAGGGCCAGGTGTGTTACGTTTGCAAGTTTCAAAAAACATTTCTATGTTTATACCAGCCATATAATACTTACGATCAAATAGCGCAGAATGTGCATACATTTCTCAGATCTCAGAAACGAAAGAGGGTTGCCCTGGTTGGCAGGAAAATGTGACCACATCGGTAACATGTGTCATAGTCTGCATGTTATAGGCTGCAGAAGGCAGGATAACATATTCCTTCATTTTGCTGTAATTAAATGCTCCCAAGTCAATGCAATATACCTTCTGTCAACACCAATCCTTTGCTTTTCTTTCAAAGTGACACCGAAACCCCCGGTTGAGGAAAAGCCAACAAAGCCAGCTCCAGAAGAGAGTGGCGCTCCTCCTCAAGAACCAACTGGACCCAAGGACAAGACACCCCCACCTCCAACCTCTGGCAACAAGGAGCCAGAACCATCACCCCCAGAAGGGCCAGGTGTGTTCATTTTATGAGATTATATATATACTGGAAGTATACTGCTTATGTTCAAATCAAACAACGGGACTTAATTTTTGATTTAAAGCTTTCGTGACTGCAGTAATTCATATTCTTAGCTCTTTCGGTAAAGTCACTTTGAAGGGAAACAATAAAATAATAAAATATATATTGTTCATATATATAAAATATATATTGTTCATATATATTTTATTATTTTATTGTTTCCCTTCAATGTGACTTAACCGAAAGAGCTACGAATATGGGACTTAATTTGTTAGAGCTCAGAAACTACTTAAGACTTGCTTATGGATAGGTGTTGGATAGGTGACAATCTGTGTAACAGACGTCATAGGCTGATTATTTACAATATAGACTTCACAGAGCAGAATGCCACACCTCTTAATTGTGATGTACTTCCATGCTCCCTCATCGGACGTTTAATAAACCCCACTGAAGAGCATGATGAAGGATGGTAAAATAACCCCCCCAACGCAGACACTCTGGGGAGGATTTAATTGAGCAGTGTATTGGCAAACAGCTATACATGATTTAGTATAACTTTCAAGTAAATTATTCGTAATGCTAATTTAAAATATCGACTGAAGGTTGCTTACATCATTTTACAAGGTTCAACTGAAAATTCATGAGCAATCTAAATTCTGTCAACATCCATCCCTTGCTTTTCTTTCAAAGTGACACCCAAACCCCCGGTTGAGGAAAAGCCAACAAAGCCAGCTCCAGAAGAGAGTGGCGCTCCTCCTCAAGAACCAACTGGACCGAAGGACAAGACACCCCCACCTCCAACCTCCAGCAACAAGGAGCCAGAACCATCACCCCCAACTCCAGGCCCAGGTACGATATTGGAATTAGTTGCAAAATCAAATATGGATAATATATTAAATGCAATGATATGTTCAATTCAAGCCACCATATGCTCCGGTAGGGTCGGGACATTGCCGGTTACAAAAGTCTATCGTAGGGTCATGAAGCATTGTAAAAGTGTGATTTTGTCCTGCTCTATAGTCTTCTGGTCCCATACTTGGCACATTTCACTGGAACAGGGTGAGACTAATGAACTCTAGGCTGGGTTCGTAGCCGAATAGGAGTAACTTACCGAGCAGTAGGTCAGCTTGTAACCGCTTGAAACTACCAACTATGTGGGCAGTGCTGGAGATTAAGGCAGCGTATCTACGTAAATGTGGATCATGCTAAAAGAAGGAGTTGGCAGCTCACTGTTCTTTAGCTTTGAGCCTCCACAACATTCTAAAGGTTTACGTATGGTTAATTCAGGATGAAGACACTCATTGTATACTTCCTGTGCAAAATGATATACAAAGTTTGTATTACGCTCATAGCAATGGAGCATTCATAGTTTTGATAGAAATTTTAGCTTTCAGAACATTACCGTGGAGAAAAAGGAGTTGATATATATAGTAATCGTTTGAAGACTGATTTAAAATGTATCTTTGCAGAAGACTGTACTCCAGGATGGTCTGATTGGTACGATGAGCAATATCCTGATGAAGAAAATGGCGGAGATGAGGAATCTTACCAGAAGGTCATAGCCTCAGGGAAAGTGGTTTGTTTGCCTGACTCACCAGTGCAAAACATTGAATGCAAAGCAGAGAGATTCCCCAATACCCCATGGCAGGAATTGGGCCAGACAATCACTTGTGACAAGAATAAAGGACTGAAATGTGTAAATGAGGATCAAGGAGGACTGCCATGTTACAACTACAAGGTCAGATTCTGCTGCTCCAGAGCAGGTGGACCTCCTGCACCAAGTCCATCTTCACGAAGCCCAGGTACATTGGTAAAATTAGTTGCAAAGCACATGGTTAATATATTGATATCATCATATCCACGATGTTTTCTGGGTTAGATCGCATTAATATAAATTAATTTTTAACTCCACTACCACCCGACACAGCCAATTAGTAAGGTTTGCGCTCCTCTTCCAGAACCAACTGCATCGAAGGACAAGACACCCGCACCTACAACCTCCAGCAACAAGGGGCCAGAACCATCACCCCCAGAAGGGCCAGGTGTGTTCCTTTTGTAAGATTATATATACAGGAAGTATACTGTTGAGGATCAAATCAAACAACGTGACTTAATTTGTTAGATCTCAGAACTAATTACGACTTGATTATGGATAGGTGTTGGATAGGTGATAATCTGTGTAACATATGTTATAGGCTGAATATTTACAATATGGACTGCACAGAGCAGAATGCCACACCTCTTTATTGTGATGTACTTCCATGCTCTCCATCCCACGTTCACTAACCCGCACTGAAGAGCATGATGAAGCATCGTCAAATAACCCCCCCAACGCAGACACCGTGGGGATGATTTAATTGAGCAGTGTATTGGCAAACAGTTATACACGATTTTGTATAACTCTCAAGTAAATTATTCGTAATGCAAATTGAAAGTATTGCCTGAAGGTTGCTTACAACATTTTACAAGGTTCAACTGAAAATGCATGAGTAATCTGAATTCTGTCAACATACATCCCTTGCCTTTTCTTTCAAAGTGACACCGAAACCCCCGGTTGAGGAAAAGCCAACAAAGCCAGCTCCAGAAGAGAGTGGCGCTCCTCCTCAAGAACCAACTGGACCCAAGGACAAGACACCCCCAACTCCAACCTCTGGCAACAAGGAGCCAGAACCGACACCCCCTGAAGGGCCAGGTGTGTTACGTTTGCAAGTTTCAAAAAACATTTCTATGTTTATACCAGCCATATAATACTTACGATCAAATAGCGCAGAATGTGCATACATTTCTCAGATCTCAGAAACGAAAGAGGATTGCCCTGGTTGGCAGGAAAATGTGACCACATCGGTAACATGTGTCATAGTCTGCATGTTATAGGCTGCAGAAGGCAGGATAACATATTCCTTCATTTTGCTGTAATTAAATGCTCCCAAGTCAATGCAATATACCTTCTGTCAACACCAATCCTTTGCTTTTCTTTCAAAGTGACACCGAAACCCCCGGTTGAGGAAAATCCAACAAAGCCAGCTCCTGAAGAGAGTGGCGCTCCTCCTCAAGAACCAACTGCGCCGAAGGACAAGACACCCCCACCTCCAACCTCCGGCAACAAGGAGCCAGAACCATCACCCCCAGAAGGGCCAGGTGTGTTCATTTTATGAGATTATATATACTGGAAGTATACTGCTTATGTTCAAATCAAACAACGGGACTTAATTTTTGATTTAAAGCTTTCGTGACTGCAGTAATTCATATTCTTAGCTCTTTCGGTAAAGTCACGTTGAAGGGAAACAATAAAATAATAAAATATATATTGTTTATATATATTGTATTATTTTATTGTTTCCCTTCAACGTGACTTAACCGAAAGAGCTACGAATATGGGACTTAATTTGTTATAGCTCAGAAACTACTTAAGACTTGCTTATGGATAGGTGTTGGATAGGTGACAATCTGTGTAGCAGACGTCATAGGCTGATTATTTACAATATAGACTTCACAGAGCAGAATGCCACACCTCTTAATTGTGATGTACTTCCATGCTCCCTCATCGGACGTTTAATAAACCCCACTGAAGAGCATGATGAAGGATGGTAAAATAACCCCCCCAACGCAGACACTCTGGGGAGGATTTAATTGAGCAGTGTATTGGCAAACAGCTATACATGATTTAGTATAACTTTCAAGTAAATTATTCGTGATGCAAATTGGAAATATCGACTGAAGATTGCTTACAACATTTTACAAGGTTCAACTGAAAATGCATGAGTAATCTGAATTCTGTCAACATCCATCCCTTGCTTTTCTTTCAAAGTGACACCCACACCCCCGGTTGAGGAAAAGCCAACAAAGCCAGCTCCAGAGGAGAGTGGCGCTCCTCCTCAAGAACCAACTGGACCGAAGGACAAGACACCCCCACCTCCAACCTCCGGCAACAAGGAGCCAGAACCATCACCCCCAGAAGGGCCAGGTGTGATACATTTTACGAGATTATATATACAGGAAGTATACTGCTTATGATCATATCAAACAACGGGACTTAATTTGTTAGATCTCAGAAACTACTTATGACTTGCTTATGTAAAGGTGTTGGATAGGTGACAATCTGTGTAACAGATGTCATAGGCTGAATATTTACAATATAGACTTCACAGAGCAGAATGCCACACCTCTTAATTGTGATGTACTTCCATGCTCCCTCATCGGACGTTTAATAAACCCCACTGAAGAGCATGATGAAGAATGGTAAAATAACCCCCCCAACGCAGACATCGTGGGGAGGATTTAATTGAGCAGTTTATTGGCAAACAGCTATACATGATTTAGTATAACTTTCAAGTAAATTATTCGTGATGCAAATTGGAAATATCGACTGAAGTTTGCTTACAACATTTTACAAGGTTCAACTGAAAATGCATGAGTAATCTGAATTCTGTCAACATCCATCCCTTGCTTTTCTTTCAAAGTGACACCCACACCCCCGGTTGAGGAAAAGCCAACAAAGCCAGCTCCAGAGGAGAGTGGCGCTCCTCCTCAAGAACCAACTGGACCGAAGGACAAGACACCCCCACCTCCAACCTCCGGCAACAAGGAGCCAGAACCATCACCCCCAGAAGGGCCAGGTGTGATACATTTTACGAGATTATATATACAGGAAGTATACTGCTTATGATCAAATCAAACAACGGGACTTAATTTGTTAGATCTCAGAAACTACTTATGACTTGCTTATGTAAAGGTGTTGGATAGGTGACAATCTGTGTAACAGATGTCATAGGCTGAATATTTACAATATAGACTTCACAGAGCAGAATGCCACACCTCTTAATTGTGATGTACTTCCATGCTCCCTCATCGGACGTTCAATAAACCCCACTAAAGAGCATGATGAAGAATGGTAAAATAACCCCCCCAACGCAGACATCGTGGGGAGGATTTAATTGAGCAGTGTATTGGCAAACAGCTATACATGATTTAGTATAACTTTCAAGTAAATTATTCGTAATGCTAATTTAAAATATCGACTGAAGGTTGCTTACATCATTTTACAAGGTTCAACTGAAAATTCATGAGCAATCTAAATTCTGTCAACATCCATCCCTTGCTTTTCTTTCAAAGTGACACCCAAACCCCCGGTTGAGGAAAAGCCAACAAAGCCAGCGCCTGAAGAGAGTGGCGCTCCTCCTCAAGAACCAACTGGAGCGAAGGACAAGACACCCCCACCTCCAACCTCCAGCAACAAGGAGCCAGAACCATCACCCCCAACTCCAGGCCCAGGTACGATATTGGAATTAGTTGCAAAATCAAATATGGATAATATATTAAATGCAATCATATGTTCAATTCAAGCCACCATATGCTCCGGTAGGGTCGGGACATTGCCGGTTACAAAAGTCTATCGTAGGGTCATGAAGCAATGTAAAAGTGTGATTTTGTCCTGCTCTATAGTCTTCTGGTCCCATACTTGGCACATTTCACTGGAACAGGGTGGGACTAATGAACTCTAGGCTGGGTTCGTAGCCGAATAGGAGTAACTTACCGAGCAGTAGGTCAGCTTGTAACCGCTTGAAACTACCAACTATGTGGGCAGTGCTGGAGATTAAGGCAGCGTATCTACGTAAAAGTGGATCATGCTAAAAGAAGGAGTTGGCAGCTCACTGTTCTTTAGCTTTGAGCCTCCACAACATTCTAAAGGTTTACGTATGGTTAATTCAGGATGAAGACACTCATTGTATACTTCCTGTGCAAAATGATATACAAAGTTTGTATTACGCTCATAGCAATGGAGCACTCATAGTTTTGATAGAAATTTTAGCTTTCAGAACATTACCGTGGAGAAAAAGGAGTTGATATATAGTAATCGTTTGAAGACTGATTTAAAATGTATCTTTGCAGAAGACTGTACTCCAGGCTGGTCTGATTGGTACGATGAGCAATATCCTGATGAAGAAAATGGCGGAGATGAGGAATCTTACCAGAAGGTCATAGCCTCAGGGAAAGTGGTTTGTTTGCCTGACTCACCAGTGCAAAACATTGAATGCAAAGCAGAGAGATTCCCCAATACCCCATGGCAGGAATTGGGCCAGACAATCACTTGTGACAAGAATAAAGGACTGAAATGTGTAAATGAGGATCAAGGAGGACTGCCATGTTACAACTACAAGGTCAGATTCTGCTGCTCCAGAGCAGGTGGACCTCCTGCACCAAGTCCATCTTCACGAAGCCCAGGTACATTGGTAAAATTAGTTGCAAAGCACATGGTTAATATATTGATATCATCATATCCACGATGTTTTCTGGGTTAGATCACATTAATATAAATTAATTTTTAACTCCACTACCACCCGACACAGCCAATTAGTAAGGTTTGCGCTCCTCTTCCAGAACCAACTGCATCGAAGGACAAGACACCCGCACCTACAACCTCCAGCAACAAGGGGCCAGAACCATCACCCCCAGAAGGGCCAGGTGTGTTCCTTTTGTAAGATTATATATACAGGAAGTATACTGTTGAGGATCAAATCAAACAACGTGACTTAATTTGTTAGATCTCAGAACTAATTACGACTTGATTATGGATAGGTGTTGGATAGGTGATAATCTGTGTAACATATGTCATAGGCTGAATATTTACAATATGGACTGCACAGAGCAGAATGCCACACCTCTTTATTGTGATGTACTTCCATGCTCTCCATCCCACGTTCACTAACCCGCACTGAAGAGCATGATGAAGCATCGTCAAATAACCCCCCCAACGCAGACACCGTGGGGATGATTTAATTGAGCAGTGTATTGGCAAACAGTTATACACGATTTTGTATAACTCTCAAGTAAATTATTCGTAATGCAAATTGAAAGTATTGCCTGAAGGTTGCTTACAACATTTTACAAGGTTCAACTGAAAATGCATGAGTAATCTGAATTCTGTCAACATACATCCCTTGCCTTTTCTTTCAAAGTGACACCGAAACCCCCGGTTGAGGAAAAGCCAACAAAGCCAGCTCCAGAAGAGAGTGGCGCTCCTCCTCAAGAACCAACTGGACCCAAGGACAAGACACCCCCACCTCCAACCTCTGGCAACAAGGAGCCAGAACCGACACCCCCTGAAGGGCCAGGTGTGTTACGTTTGCAAGTTTCAAAAAACATTTCTATGTTTATACCAGCCATATAATACTTACGATCAAATAGCGCAGAATGTGCATACATTTCTCAGATCTCAGAAACGAAAGAGGGTTGCCCTGGTTGGCAGGAAAATGTGACCACATCGGTAACATGTGTCATCGTCTGCATGTTATAGGCTGCAGAAGGCAGGATAACATATTCCTTCATTTTGCTGTAATTAAATGCTCCCAAGTCAATGCAATATACCTTCTGTCAACACCAATCCTTTGCTTTTCTTTCAAAGTGACACCGAAACCCCCGGTTGAGGAAAATCCAACAAAGCCAGCTCCTGAAGAGAGTGGCGCTCCTCCTCAAGAACCAACTGCGCCGAAGGACAAGACACCCCCACCTCCAACCTCCGGCAACAAGGAGCCAGAACCATCACCCCCAGAAGGGCCAGGTGTGTTCATTTTATGAGATTATATATACTGGAAGTATACTGCTTATGTTCAAATCAAACAACGGGACTTAATTTTTGATTTAAAGCTTTCGTGACTGCAGTAATTCATATTCTTAGCTCTTTCGGTAAAGTCACGTTGAAGGGAAACAATAAAATAATAAAATATATATTGTTTATATATATTTTATTATTGTATTGTTTCCCTTCAACGTGACTTAACCGAAAGAGCTACGAATATGGGACTTAATTTGTTAGAGCTCAGAAACTACTTAAGACTTGCTTATGGATAGGTGTTGGATAGGTGACAATCTGTGTAACAGACGTCATAGGCTGATTATTTACAATATATACTTCACAGAGCAGAATGCCACACCTCTTAATTGTGATGTACTTCCATGCTCCCTCATCGGACGTTTAATAAACCCCACTGAAGAGCATGATGAAGGATGGTAAAATAACCCCCCCAACGCAGACATCGTGGGGAGGATTTAATTGAGCAGTTTATTGGCAAACAGCTATACATGATTTAGTATAACTTTCAAGTAAATTATTCGTGATGCAAATTGGAAATATCGACTGAAGGTTGCTTACAACATTTTACAAGGTTCAACTGAAAATGCATGAGTAATCTGAATTCTGTCAACATCCATCCCTTGCTTTTCTTTCAAAGTGACACCCACACCCCCGGTTGAGGAAAAGCCAACAAAGCCAGCTCCAGAGGAGAGTGGCGCTCCTCCTCAAGAACCAACTGGACCGAAGGACAAGACACCCCCACCTCCAACCTCCGGCAACAAGGAGCCAGAACCATCACCCCCAGAAGGGCCAGGTGTGATACATTTTACGAGATTATATATACAGGAAGTATACTGCTTATGATCAAATCAAACAACGGGACTTAATTTGTTAGATCTCAGAAACTACTTATGACTTGCTTATGTAAAGGTGTTGGATAGGTGACAATCTGTGTAACAGATGTCATAGGCTGAATATTTACAATATAGACTTCACAGAGCAGAATGCCACACCTCTTAATTGTGATGTACTTCCATGCTCCCTCATCGGACGTTTAATAAACCCCACTGAAGAGCATGATGAAGAATGGTAAAATAACCCCCCCAACGCAGACATCGTGGGGAGGATTTAATTGAGCAGTTTATTGGCAAACAGCTATACATGATTTAGTATAACTTTCAAGTAAATTATTCGTGATGCAAATTGGAAATATCGACTGAAGGTTGCTTACAACATTTTACAAGGTTCAACTGAAAATGCATGAGTAATCTGAATTCTGTCAACATCCATCCCTTGCTTTTCTTTCAAAGTGACACCCACACCCCCGGTTGAGGAAAAGCCAACAAAGCCAGCTCCAGAGGAGAGTGGCGCTCCTCCTCAAGAACCAACTGGACCGAAGGACAAGACACCCCCACCTCCAACCTCCGGCAACAAGGAGCCAGAACCATCACCCCCAGAAGGGCCAGGTGTGATACATTTTACGAGATTATATATACAGGAAGTATACTGCTTATGATCATATCAAACAACGGGACTTAATTTGTTAGATCTCAGAAACTACTTATGACTTGCTTATGTAAAGGTGTTGGATAGGTGACAATCTGTGTAACAGATGTCATAGGCTGAATATTTACAATATAGACTTCACAGAGCAGAATGCCACACCTCTTAATTGTGATGTACTTCCATGCTCCCTCATCGGACGTTCAATAAACCCCACTGAAGAGCATGATGAAGGATGGTAAAATAACTCCCCCAACGCAGACACCGTGGGGAGGATTTAATTGAGCAGTGTATTGGCAAACAGCTATACATGATTTAGTATAACTTTCAAGTAAATTATTCGTAATGCAAATTGAAAATATCGACTGAAGGTTGCTTACAACATTTTACAAGGTTCAACTGAAAATTCATGAGCAATCTAAATTCTGTCAACATCCATCCCTTGCTTTTCTTTCCAAGTGACACCCAAACCCCCGGTTGAGGAAAAGCCAACAAAGCCAGCTCCTGAAGAGAGTGGCGCTCCTCCTCAAGAACCAACTGGAGCGAAGGACAAGACACCCCCACCTCCAACCTCCAGCAACAAGGAGCCAGAACCATCACCCCCAACTCCAGGCCCAGGTACCATATTGGAATTAGTTGCAAAATCAAATATGGATAATATATTAAATGCAATCATATGTTCAATTCAAGCCACCATATGCTCCGGTAGGGTCGGGACATTGCCGGTTACAAAAGTCTATCGTAGGGTCATGAAGCATTGTAAAAGTGTGATTTTGTCCTGCTCTATAGTCTTCTGGTCCCATACTTGGCACATTTCACTGGAACAGGGTGGGACTAATGAACTCTAGGCTGGGTTCGTAGCCGAATAGGAGTAACTTACCGAGCAGTAGGTCAGCTTGTTACCGCTTGAAACTACCAACTATGTGGGCAGTGCTGGAGATTAAGGCAGCGTATCTACGTAAAAGTGGATCATGCTAAAAGAAGGAGTTGGCAGCTCACTGTTCTTTAGCTTTGAGCCTCCACAACATTCTAAAGGTTTACGTATGGTTAATTCAGGATGAAGACACTCATTGTATACTTCCTGTGCAAAATGATATACAAAGTTTGTATTACGCTCATAGCAATGGAGCACTCATAGTTTTGATAGAAATTTTAGCTTTCAGAACATTACCGTGGAGAAAAAGGAGTTGATATATAGTAATCGTTTGAAGACTGATTTAAAATGTATCTTTGCAGAAGACTGTACTCCAGGATGGTCTGATTGGTACGATGAGCAATATCCTGATGAAGAAAATGGCGGAGATGAGGAATCTTACCAGAAGGTCATAGCCTCAGGGAAAGTGGTTTGTTTGCCTGACTCACCAGTGCAAAACATTGAATGCAAAGCAGAGAGATTCCCCAATACCCCATGGCAGGAATTGGGCCAGACAATCACTTGTGACAAGAATAAAGGACTGAAATGTGTAAATGAGGATCAAGGAGGACTGCCATGTTACAACTACAAGGTCAGATTCTGCTGCTCCAGAGCAGGTGGACCTCCTGCACCAAGTCCATCTTCACGAAAGCCCAGGTACATTAGGTAAAATTAGTTGCAAAGCACATGGTTAATATATTGATATCATCATATCCACTGATGTTTTCTGGGTTAGATCGCATTAATATAAATTAATTTTTAACTCCACTACCACCCGACACAGCCAATTAGTAAGGTTTGCGCTCCTCTTCCAGAACCAACTGCATCGAAGGACAAGACACCCGCACCTACAACCTCCAGCAACAAGGGGCCAGAACCATCACCCCCAGAAGGGCCAGGTGTGTTCCTTTTGTAAGATTATATATACAGGAAGTATACTGCTTGAGGATCAAATCAAACAACGTGACTTAATTTGTTAGATCTCAGAACTAATTACGACTTGATTATGGATAGGTGTTGGATAGGTGATAATCTGTGTAACATATGTCATAGGCTGAATATTTACAATATGGACTGCACAGAGCAGAATGCCACACCTCTTTATTGTGATGTACTTCCATGCTCTCCATCCCACGTTCACTAACCCGCACTGAAGAGCATGATGAAGCATCAGTCAAATAAGCCCCCCCAACGCAGACACCGTGGGGATGATTTAATTGAGCAGTGTATTGGCAAACAGTTATACACGATTTTGTATAACTCTCAAGTAAATTATTCGTAATGCAAATTGAAAGTATTGCCTGAAGGTTGCTTACAACATTTTACAAGGTTCACCTGAAAATGCATGAGTAATCTGAATTCTGTCAACATACATCCCTTGCCTTTTCTTTCAAAGTGACACCGAAACCCCCGGTTGAGGAAAATCCAACAAAGCCAGCTCCAGAAGAGAGTGGCGCTCCTCCTCAAGAACCAACTGGACCCAAGGACAAGACACCCCCACCTCCAACCTCTGGCAACAAGGAGCCAGAACCGACACCCCCTGAAGGGCCAGGTGTGTTACGTTTGCAAGTTTCAAAAAAATATTTCTATGTTTATACCAGCCATATAATACTTACGATCAAATAGCGCAGAATGTGCATACATTTCTCAGATCTCAGAAACGAAAGAGGGTTGCCCTGGTTGGCAGGAAAATGTGACCACATCGGTAACATGTGTCATAGTCTGCATGTTATAGGCTGCAGAAGGCAGGATAACATATTCCTTCATTTTGCTGTAATTAAATGCTCCCAAGTCAATGCAATATACCTTCTGTCAACACCAATCCTTTGCTTTTCTTTCAAAGTGACACCGAAACCCCCGGTTGAGGAAAAGCCAACAAAGCCAGCTCCTGAAGAGAGTGGCGCTCCTCCTCAAGAACCAACTGCGCCGAAGGACAAGACACCCCCACCTCCAACCTCCGGCAACAAGGAGCCAGAACCATCACCCCCAGAAGGGCCAGGTGTGTTCATTTTATGAGATTATATATACTGGAAGTATACTGCTTATGTTCAAATCAAACAACGGGACTTAATTTTTGATTTAAAGCTTTCGTGACTGCAGTAATTCATATTCTTAGCTCTTTCGGTAAAGTCACGTTGAAGGGAAACAATAAAATAATAAAATATATAGTTTATATATATTGTATTATTTTATTGTTTCCCTTCAACGTGACTTAACCGAAAGAGCTACGAATATGGGACTTAATTTGTTAGAGCTCAGAAACTACTTAAGACTTGCTTATGGATAGGTGTTGGATAGGTGACAATCTGTGTAACAGACGTCATAGGCTGATTATTTACAATATAGAATTCACAGAGCAGAATGCCACACCTCTTAATTGTGATGTACTTCCATGCTCCCTCATCGGACGTTTAATAAACCCCACTGAAGAGCATGATGAAGGATGGTAAAATAACCCCCCCAACGCAGACACTCTGGGGAGGATTTAATTGAGCAGTGTATTGGCAAACAGCTATACATGATTTAGTATAACTTTCAAGTAAATTATTCGTGATGCAAATTGGAAATATCGACTGAAGATTGCTTACAACATTTTACAAGGTTCAACTGAAAATGCATGAGTAATCTGAATTCTGTCAACATCCATCCCTTGCTTTTCTTTCAAAGTGACACCCACACCCCCGGTTGAGGAAAAGCCAACAAAGCCAGCTCCAGAGGAGAGTGGCGCTCCTCCTCAAGAACCAACTGGACCAAAGGACAAGACACCCCCACCTCCAACCTCCGGCAACAAGGAGCCAGAACCATCACCCCCAGAAGGGCCAGGTGTGATACATTTTACGAGATTATATATACAGGAAGTATACTGCTTATGATCAAATCAAACAACGGGACTTAATTTGTTAGATCTCAGAAACTACTTATGACTTGCTTATGTAAAGGTGTTGGATAGGTGACAATCTGTGTAACAGATGTCATAGGCTGAATATTTACAATATAGACTTCACAGAGCAGAATGCCACACCTCTTAATTGTGATGTACTTCCATGCTCCCTCATCGGACGTTTAATAAACCCCACTGAAGAGCATGATGAAGAATGGTAAAATAACCCCCCCAACGCAGACATCGTGGGGAGGATTTAATTGAGCAGTTTATTGGCAAACAGCTATACATGATTTAGTATAACTTTCAAGTAAATTATTCGTAATGCTAATTTAAAATATCGACTGAAGGTTGCTTACATCATTTTACAAGGTTCAACTGAAAATTCATGAGCAATCTAAATTCTGTCAACATCCATCCCTTGCTTTTCTTTCAAAGTGACACCCAAACCCCCGGTTGAGGAAAAGCCAACAAAGCCAGCTCCAGAAGAGAGTGGCGCTCCTCCTCAAGAACCAACTGGACCGAAGGACAAGACACCCCCACCTCCAACCTCCAGCAACAAGGAGCCAGAACCATCACCCCCAACTCCAGGCCCAGGTACGATATTGGAATTAGTTGCAAAATCAAATATGGATAATATATTAAATGCAATCATATGTTCAATTCAAGCCACCATATGCTCCGGTAGGGTCGGGACATTGCCGGTTACAAAAGTCTATCGTAGGGTCATGAAGCATTGTAAAAGTGTGATTTTGTCCTGCTCTATAGTCTTCTGGTCCCATACTTGGCACATTTCACTGGAACAGGGTGGGACTAATGAACTCTAGGCTGGGTTCGTAGCTGAATAGGAGTAACTTACCGAGCAGTAGGTCAGCTTGTAACCGCTTGAAACTACCAACTATGTGGGCAGTGCTGGAGATTAAGGCAGCGTATCTACGTAAAAGTGGATCATGCTAAAGAAGGAGTTGGCAGCTCACTGTTCTTTAGCTTTGAGCCTCCACAACATTCTAAAGGTTTACGTATGGTTAATTCAGGATGAAGACACTCATTGTATACTTCCTGTGCAAAATGATATACAAAGTTTGTATTACGCTCATAGCAATGGAGCATTCATAGTTTTGATAGAAATTTTAGCTTTCAGAACATTACCGTGGAGAAAAAGGAGTTGATATATAGTAATCGTTTGAAGACTGATTTAAAATGTATCTTTGCAGAAGACTGTACTCCAGGATGGTCTGATTGGTACGATGAGCAATATCCTGATGAAGAAAATGGCGGAGATGAGGAATCTTACCAGAAGGTCATAGCCTCAGGGAAAGTGGTTTGTTTGCCTGACTCACCAGTGCAAAACATTGAATGCAAAGCAGAGAGATTCCCCAATACCCCATGGCAGGAATTGGGCAGACAATCACTTGTGACAAGAATAAAGGACTGAAATGTGTAAATGAGGATCAAGGAGGACTGCCATGTTACAACTACAAGGTCAGATTCTGCTGCTCCAGAGCAGGTGGACCTCCTGCACCAAGTCCATCTTCACGAAGCCCAGGTACATTGGTAAAATTAGTTGCAAAGCACATGGTTAATATATTGATATCATCATATCCACGATGTTTTCTGGGTTAGATCGCATTAATATAAATTAATTTTTAACTCCACTACCACCCGACACAGCCAATTAGTAAGGTTTGCGCTCCTCTTCCAGAACCAACTGCATCGAAGGACAAGACACCCGCACCTACAACCTCCAGCAACAAGGGGCCAGAACCATCACCCCCAGAAGGGCCAGGTGTGTTCCTTTTGTAAGATTATATATACAGGAAGTATACTGTTGAGGATCAAATCAAACAACGTGACTTAATTTGTTAGATCTCAGAACTAATTACGACTTGATTATGGATAGGTGTTGGATAGGTGATAATCTGTGTAACATATGTCATAGGCTGAATATTTACAATATGGACTGCACAGAGCAGAATGCCACACCTCTTTATTGTGATGTACTTCCATGCTCTCCATCCCACGTTCACTAACCCGCACTGAAGAGCATGATGAAGCATCGTCAAATAACCCCCCCAACGCAGACACCGTGGGGATGATTTAATTGAGCAGTGTATTGGCAAACAGTTATACACGATTTTGTATAACTCTCAAGTAAATTATTCGTAATGCAAATTGAAAGTATTGCCTGAAGGTTGCTTACAACATTTTACAAGGTTCAACTGAAAATGCATGAGTAATCTGAATTCTGTCAACATACATCCCTTGCCTTTTCTTTCAAAGTGACACCGAAACCCCCGGTTGAGGAAAAGCCAACAAAGCCAGCTCCAGAAGAGAGTGGCGCTCCTCCTCAAGAACCAACTGGACCCAAGGACAAGACACCCCCACCTCCAACCTCTGGCAACAAGGAGCCAGAACCGACACCCCCTGAAGGGCCAGGTGTGTTACATTTGCAAGTTTCAAAAAACATTTCTATGTTTATACCAGCCATATAATACTTACGATCAAATAGCGCAGAATGTGCATACATTTCTCAGATCTCAGAAACGAAAGAGGGTTGCCCTGGTTGGCAGGAAAATGTGACCACATCGGTAACATGTGTCATAGTCTGCATGTTATAGGCTGCAGAAGGCAGGATAACATATTCCTTCATTTTGCTGTAATTAAATGCTCCCAAGTCAATGCAATATACCTTCTGTCAACACCAATCCTTTGCTTTTCTTTCAAAGTGACACCGAAACCCCCGGTTGAGGAAAAGCCAACAAAGCCAGCTCCAGAAGAGAGTGGCGCTCCTCCTCAAGAACCAACTGGACCCAAGGACAAGACACCCCCACCTCCAACCTCTGGCAACAAGGAGCCAGAACCATCACCCCCAGAAGGGCCAGGTGTGTTCATTTTATGAGATTATATATACTGGAAGTATACTGCTTATGTTCAAATCAAACAACGGGACTTAATTTTTGATTTAAAGCTTTCGTGACTGCAGTAATTCATATTCTTAGCTCTTTCGGTAAAGTCACGTTGAAGGGAAACAATAAAATAATAAAATATATATTGTTTATATATATATTTTATTATTTTATTGTTTCCCTTCAACGTGACTTAACCGAAAGAGCTACGAATATGGGACTTAATTTGTTAGAGCTCAGAAACTACTTAAGACTTGCTTATGGATAGGTGTTGGATAGGTGACAATCTGTGTAACAGACGTCATAGGCTGATTATTTACAATATAGACTTCACAGAGCAGAATGCCACACCTCTTAATTGTGATGTACTTCCATGCTCCCTCATCAGACATTTAATAAACCCCACTGAAGAGCATGATGAAGGATGGTAAAATAACCCCCCCAACGCAGACACTCTGGGGAGGATTTAATTGAGCAGTGTATTGGCAAACAGCTATACATGATTTAGTATAACTTTCAAGTAAATTATTCGTGATGCAAATTGGAAATATCGACTGAAGGTTGCTTACAACATTTTACAAGGTTCAACTGAAAATGCATGAGTAATCTGAATTCTGTCAACATCCATCCCTTGCTTTTCTTTCAAAGTGACACCCACACCCCCGGTTGAGGTAAAGCCAACAAAGCCAGCTCCAGAGGAGAGTGGCGCTCCTCCTCAAGAACCAACTGGACCGAAGGACAAGACACCCCCACCTCCAACCTCCGGCAACAAGGAGCCAGAACCATCACCCCCAGAAGGGCCAGGTGTGATACATTTTACGAGATTATATATACAGGAAGTATACTGCTTATGATCAAATCAAACAACGGGACTTAATTTGTTAGATCTCAGAAACTACTTATGACTTGCTTATGTAAAGGTGTTGGATAGGTGACAATCTGTGTAACAGATGTCATAGGCTGAATATTTACAATATAGACTTCACAGAGCAGAATGCCACACCTCTTAATTGTGATGTACTTCCATGTTCCCTCATCGGACGTTCAATAAACCCCACTGAAGCGCATGATGAAGGATGGTAAAATAACTCCCCCAACGCAGACACCGTGGGGAGGATTTAATTGAGCAGTGTATTGGCAAACAGCTATACATGATTTAGTATAACTTTCAAGTAAATTATTCGTAATGCAAATTGAAAATATCGACTGAAGGTTGCTTACAATCATTTTACAAGGTTCAACTGAAAATTCATGAGCAATCTAAATTCTGTCAACATCCATCCCTTGCTTTTCTTTCCAAGTGACACCCAAACCCCCGGTTGAGGAAAAGCCAACAAAGCCAGCTCCCTGAAGAGAGTGGCGCTCCTCCTCAAGAACCAACTGGAGCGAAGGACAAGACACCCCCACCTCCAACCTCCAGCAACAAGGAGCCAGAACCATCACCCCCAACTCCAGGCCCAGGTACCATATTGGAATTAGTTGCAAAATCAAATATGGATAATATATTAAATGCAATCATATGTTCAATTCAAGCCACCATATGCTCCGGTAGGGTCGGGACATTGCCGGTTACAAAAGTCTATTGTAGGGTCCTGAAGCATTGTAAAAGTGTGATTTTGTCCTGCTCTATAGTCTTCTGGTCCCATACTTGGCTACATTTCACTGGAACAGGGTGGGACTAATGAACTCTAGGCTGGGTTCGTAGCTGAATAGGAGTAACTTACCGAGCAGTAGGTCAGCTTGTTAACCGCTTGAAACTACCAACTATGTGGGCAGTGCTGGTGATTAAGGCAGCGTATCTACGTAAAAGTGGGATCATGCTAAAAGAAGGAGTTGGCAGCTCACTGTTCTTTAGCTTTGAGCCTCCACAACATTCTAAAGGTTTACGTATGGTTAACTTCAGGATGAAGAGACTCATTGTATACTTCCTGTGCAAAATGATATACAAAGTTTGTATTACGCTCATAGCAATGGAGCATTCATAGTTTTGATAAAAAATTTAGCTTTCAGAACATTACCGTGGAGAAAAAGGAGTTGATATATAGTAATCGTTTGAAGACTGATTTAAAATGTATCTTTGCAGAAGACTGTACTCCAGGCTGGTCTGATTGGTACGATGAGCAATATCCTGATGAAGAAAATGGCGGAGATGAGGAATCTTACCAGAAGGTCATAGCCTCAGGGAAAGTGGTTTGTCTGCCTGACTCACCAGTGCAAAACATTGAATGCAAAGCAGAGAGATTCCCCAATACCCCATGGCAGGAATTGGGGCAGACAATAACTTGTGACAAGAATAAAGGACTGAAATGTGTAAATGAGGATCAAGGAGGACTGCCATGTTACAACTACAAGGTCAGATTCTGCTGCTCCAGAGCAGGTGGACCTCCTGCACCAAGTCCATCTTCACGAAGCCCAGGTACATTAGTAAAATTAGTTGCAAAGCACATGGTTAATATATTGATATCATCATATCCACTGATGTTTTCTGGGTTAGATCGCATTAATATAAATTAGTTTTTAACTCCAGCTACCACCCGACACAGCCAATTAGTAAGGTTTGCGCTCCTCTTCCAGAACCAACTGCATCGAAGGACAAGACACCCGCACCTCCAACCTCCAGCAACAAGGGGCCAGAACCATCACCCCCAGAAGGGCCAGGTGTGTTCCTTTTGTAAGATTATATATATACAGGACGTATACTGCTTGAGGATCAAATCAAACAACGTGACTTAATTTGTTAGATCTCAGAACTAATTACGACTTGCTTATGGATAGGTGTTGGATAGGTGATAATCTGTGTAACATATGTCATAGGCTGAATATTTACAATATGGACTGCACAGAGCAGAATGCCACACCTCTTTATTGTGATGTACTTCCATGCTCTCCATCCCACGTTCACTAACCCGCACTGAAGAGCATGATGAAGCATCAGTCAAATAAGCCCCCCAAAGCAGACACCGTGGGGATGATTTAATTGAGCAGTGTATTGGCAAACAGTTATACACGATTTTGTATAACTTCTCAAGTAAATTATTCGTAATGCAAATTGAAAGTATTGCCTGAAGGTTGCTTACAACATTTTACAAGGTTCAACTGAAAATGCATGAGTAATCTGAATTCTGTCAACATCCATCCCTTGCCTTTTCTTTCAAAGTGACACCGAAACCCCCGGTTGAGGAAAAGCCAACAAAGCCAGCTCCAGAAGAGAGTGGCGCTCCTCCTCAAGAACCAACTGGACCGAAGGACAAGACACCCACACCTCCAACCTCTGGCAACAAGGAGCCAAGAAACGACACCCCCTGAAGGACTAGGTGTGTTACGTTTGCAAGTTTAAAAAAATATTTCTAAGTTCATACCAGGCCATATAATACTTACGATCAAATAGCACAGAATGTGCATACATTTCTCAGATCTCAGAAACGAAATAGTGTTGCCATGGTTGGCAGGAAAATGTGACCACATCCAGTAACATGTGTCATAGTCTCCATGTTATAGGCTGCAGAGGGCAGGATAACACATTCCTTTATTTTGCTGTAAATACATGCTCCCAAGTCAATGCAAAATGCCTTCTGTCATCACCAATCCCTTGCTTTTCTTTCAAAGTGACACCGAAACCCCCGGTTGAGGAAAAGCCAACAAAGCCAGCTCCTGAAGAGAGTGGCGCTCCTCCTCAAGAACCAACTGCACCGAAGGACAAGACACCCCCACCTCCAACCTCCGGCAACAAGGAGCCAGAACCATCACCCCCAGAAGGGCCAGGTGTGTTCATTTTATAAGATTATATATACAGGAAGTATACTGCTTATGATCAAATCAAACAACGGGACTTAATTTGTTAGATCTCAGAAACTAATTAAGACTTGCTTATGGATAGGTGTTGGATAGGTGACAATCTGTGTAACAGATGTCATAGGCTGAATATTTACAATATAGACTTCACAGAGCAGAATGCCACACCTCTTAATTGTGATGTACTTCCATGCTCCCTCATCGGACGTTCAATAAACCCCACTGAAGAGCATGATGAAGGATGGTAAAATAACCCCCCCAACGCAGACACTCTGGGGAAGGATTTAATTGAGCAGTGTATTGGCAAACAGCTATACATGATTTAGTATAACTTTCAAGTAAATTATTCGTAATGCAAATTGAAAATATCGACTGAAGGTTGCTTACAACATTTTACAAGGTTCAACTGAAAATTCATGAGCAATCTAAATTCTGTCAACATCCATCCCTTGCTTTTCTTTCCAAGTGACACCCAAACCCCCGGTTGAGGAAAAGCCAACAAAGCCAGCTCCTGAAGAGAGTGGCGCTCCTCCTCAAGAACCAACTGGAGCGAAGGACAAGACACCCCCACCTCCAACCTCCAGCAACAAGGAGCCAGAACCATCACTCCCAACTCCAGGCCCAGGTACCATATTGGAATTAGTTGCAAAATCAAATATGGATAATATATTAAATGCAATCATATGTTCAATTCAAGCCACCATATGCTCCGGTAGGGTCGGGACATTGCCGGTTACAAAAGTCTATCGTAGGGTCCTGAAGCATTGTAAAAGTGTGATTTTGTCCTGCTTTATAGTCTTCTGGTCCCATACTTGGCTCATTTCACTGGAACAGGGTGGGACTAATGAACTCTAGGCTGGGTTCGTAGCAGAATAGGAGTAACTTACCGAGCAGTAGGTCAGCTTGTTACCGCGTGAAACTACCAACTATGTGGGCAGTGCTGGTGATTAAGGCAGCGTATCTACGTAAAAGTGGGATCATGCTAAAGAAGGAGTTGGCAGCTCACTGTTCTTTAGCTTTGAGCCTCCACAACATTCTAAAGGTTTACGTATGGTTAACTCAGGATGAAGAGACTCACTGTATACTTCCTGTGCAAAATGATATGCAAAGTTTGTATTACGCTCATAGCAATGGAGCATTCATAGTTTTGATTAAAAAAATAGCTTTCAGAACATTACCGTGGAGAAAAAGGAGTTGATATATATAGTAATCGTTTGAAGACTGATTTAAAATGTATCTTTGCAGAAGACTGTACTCCAGGCTGGTCTGATTGGTACGATGAGCAATATCCTGATGAAGAAAATGGCGGAGATGAGGAATCTTACCAGAAGGTCATAGCCTCAGGGAAAGTGGTTTGTCTGCCTGACTCACCAGTGCAAAACATTGAATGCAAAGCAGAGAGATTCCCCAATACCCCATGGCAGGAATTGGGGCAGACAATAACTTGTGACAAGAATAAAGGACTGAAATATGTAAATGAGGATCAAGGAGGACTGCCATGTTACAACTACAAGGTCAGATTCTGCTGCTCCAGAGCAGGTGGACCTCCTGCACCAAGTCCATCTTCACGAAGCCCAGGTACATTAGTAAAATTAGTTGCAAAGCACATGGTTAATATATTGATATCATCATATCCATGATGTTTTCTGGGTTAGATCGCATAAATATAAATTAGTTTTTAACTCCGCTACCACCCGACACAGCCAATTAGTAAGGTTTGCGCTCCTCTTCCAGAACCAACTGCATCGAAGGACAAGACACCCGCACCTCCAACCTCCAGCAACAAGGGGCCAGAACCATCACCCCCAGAAGGGCCAGGTGTGTTCCTTTTGTAAGATTATATATATACAGGACGTACTGCTTAGGATCAAATCAAACAACGTGACTTAATTTGTTAGATCTCAGAACTAATTACGACTTGCTTATGGATAGGTGTTGGATAGGTGACAATCTGTGTAACAGATGTCATAGGCTGAATATTTACAATATGGACTGCACAGAGCAGAATGCCACACCTCTTTATTGTGATGTACTTCCATGCTCCCCATCCCACGTTGACTAACCCGCACTGAAGAGCATGATGAAGCATCATCAAATAACCCCCCCAAAGCAGACACCGTGGGGATGATTTAATTGAGCAGTGTATTGGCAAACAGTTATACACGATTTTGTATAACTTTCAAGTAAATTATTCGTAATGCAAATTGAAAGTATTGCCTGAAGGTTGCTTACAACATTTTACAAGGTTCACCTGAAAATGCATGAGTAATCTGAATTCTGTCAACATCCATCCCTTGCCTTTTCTTTCAAAGTGACACCGAAACCCCCGGTTGAGGAAAAGCCAACAAAGCCAGCTCCAGAAGAGAGTGGCGCTCCTCCTCAAGAACCAACTGGACCGAAGGACAAGACACCCCCACCTCCAACCTCTGGCAACAAGGAGCCAAGAAACCGACACCCCCTGAAGGGCCAGGTGTGTTACGTTTGCAAGTTTCAAAAAATATTTCTAAGTTCATACCAGGCCATATAATACTTTACGATCAAATAGCACAGAATGTGCATACATTTCTCAGATCTCAGAAACGAAAGAGGGTTGCCCTGGTTGGCAGGAAAATGTGACCACATCGGTAACATGTGTCATAGTCTGCATGTTATAGGCTGCATAAGGCAGGATAACATATTCCTTCATTTTGCTGTAATTAAATGCTCCCAAGTCAATGCAATATACCTTCTGTCAACACCAATCCTTTGCTTTTCTTTCAAAGTGACACCGAAACCCCCGGTTGAGGAAAAGCCAACAAAGCCAGCTCCTGAAGAGAGTGGCGCTCCTCCTCAAGAACCAACTGCGCCGAAGGACAAGACACCCCCACCTCCAACCTCCAGCAACAAGGAGCCAGAACCATCACCCCCAGAAGGGCCAGGTGTGTTCATTTTATGAGATTATATATACTGGAAGTATACTGCTTATGTTCAAATCAAACAACGGGACTTAATTTTTGATTTAAAGCTTTCGTGACTGCAGTAATTCATATTCTTAGCTCTTTCGGTAAAGTCACGTTGAAGGGAAACAATAAAATAATAAAATGTTTGTTAGATCTCAGAAACGAATTAAGACTTGCTTATGGATAGGTGTTGGATAGGTGACAATCTGTGTAACAGATGTCATAGGCTGAATATTTACAATATAGACTTCACAGAGCAGAATGCCACACCTCTTAATTGTGATGTACTTCCATGCTCCCTCATCGGACGTTCAATAAACCCCACTGAAGAGCATGATGAAGGATGGTAAAATAACCCCCCCAACGCAGACACCGTGAGAAGGATTTAATTGAGCAGTGTATTGGCAAACAGCTATACATGATTTAGTATAACTTTCAAGTAAATTATTCGTAATGCAAATTGAAAATATCGACTGAAGGTTGCTTACAACATTTTACAAGGTTCAACTGAAAATTCATGAGCAATCTAAATTCTGTCAACATCCATCCCTTGCTTTTCTTTCCAAGTGACACCCAAACCCCCGGTTGAGGAAAAGCCAACAAAGCCAGCTCCTGAAGAGAGTGGCGCTCCTCCTCAAGAACCAACTGGAGCGAAGGACAAGACACCCCCACCTCCAACCTCCAGCAACAAGGAGCCAGAACCATCACTCCCAACTCCAGGCCCAGGTACCATGGTGGAATTAGTTGCAAAATCAAATGTGGAAAATATATTAAATGCAATCATATGGTCAATTCAAGCCACCATATGCTCCGGTAGGGTCAGGACATTGCCAGTTACAAAAGTCTATCGTAGGGTCCTGAAGAATTGTAAAAATGTGATTTTGTCCTGCTTTATAGTCTTCTGGTCCCATACTTGGCTCATTTTACTGGAACAGGGTGGGACTAATGAACTCTAGGCTGGGTTCGTAGCAGAATAGGAGTAACTTACCGAACAGTAGGTCAGCTTGTTTCCACGTGAAACTACCAACTATGTGGGCAGTGCTGGTGATTAAGGCAGCGTATCTACGTAAAAGTGGGTTATGCTAACAGAAGGAGTTGGCAGCTCACTGTTCTTTAGCTTTGAGCCTCCACAACATTCTAAAGGTTTATGTACGGTTAATTCAGGATGAAGAGACTCATTGTATACTTCCTGTGCAAAATGATATACAAAGTTTGTATTACGCTCATAGCAATGGAGCATTCATAGTTTTGATAAAAATTTTAGCTTTCAGAACATTACCGTGGAGAAAAAGGAGTTGATATATATAGTAATCGTTTGAAGACTGATTTAAAATGTATCTTTGCAGAAGACTGTACTCCAGGCTGGTCTGATTGGTACAATGAGCAATATCCTGATGAAGAAAATGGCGGAGATGAGGAATCTTACCAGAAGGTCATAGCCTCAGGGAAAGTGGTTTGTCTGCCTGACTCACCAGTGCAAAACATTGAATGCAAAGCAGAGAGATTCCCCAATACCCCATGGCAGGAATTGGGCCAGACAATAACTTGTGACAAGAATAAAGGACTGAAATGTGTAAATGAGGATCAAGGAGGACTGCCATGTTACAACTACAAGGTCAGATTCTGCTGCTCCAGAGCAGGTGGACCTCCTGCACCAAGTCCATCTTCACGAAGCCAAGGTACATTAGGTAAAATGAGTTGCAAAGCACATGGTTAATATATTGATATCATCATATCCACGATGTTTTCTGGGTTAGATCGCATTAATATAAATTAGTTTTTAACTCCGCTACCACCCGACACAGCCAATTAGTAAGGTTTGCGCTCCTCTTCCAGAACCAACTGCATCGAAGGACAAGACACCCCCACCTCCAACCTACCGGCAACAAGGAGCCAGAACCATCACCCCCAGAAGGGCCAGGTGTGATCATTTTATAAGATTATATATACAGGAAGTATACTGCTTATGATCAAATCAAACAACGGGACTTAATTTGTTAGATCTCAGAAACTAATTAAGACTTGCTTATGGATAGGTGTTGGATAGGTGACAATCTGTGTAACAGATGTCATAGGATGATTATTTACAATATAGACTTCACAGAGCAGAATGCCACACCTCTTAATTGTGATGTACTTCCATGCTCCCTCATCGGACGTTTAATAAACCCCACTGAAGAGCATGATGAAGGATGGTAAAATAACCCCCCCAACGCAGACACTCTGGGGAGGATTTAATTGAGCAGTGTATTGGCAAACAGCTATACATGATTTAGTATAACTTTCAAGTAAATTATTCGTAATGCAAATTGGAAATATCGACTGAAGGTTGCTTACAACATTTTACAAGGTTCAACTGAAAATGCATGAGTAATCTGAATTCTGTCAACATCCATCCCTTGCTTTTTTTTCAAAGTGACACCCAAACCCCCGGTTGAGGAAAAGCCAACAAAGCCAGCTCCAGAAGAGAGTGGCGCTCCTCCTCAAGAACCAACTGGACCGAAGGACAAGACACCCCCACCTCCAACCTCCGGCAACAAGGAGCCAGAACCATCACCCCCAGAAGGGCCAGGTGTGATACATTTTACGAGATTATATATACAGGAAGTATACTGCTTATGATCAAATCAAACAACGGGACTTAATTTGTTAGATCTCAGAAACTACTTATGACTTGCTTATGGATAGGTGTTGGATAGGTGACAATCTGTGTAACAGATGTCATAGGCTGAATATTTACAATATAGACTTCACAGAGCAGAATGCCACACCTCTTAATTGTGATGTACTTCCATGCTCCCTCATCGGACGTTTAATAAACCCCACTGAAGAGCATGATGAAGAATGGTAAAATAATCCCCCCAACGCAGACATCGTGGGAAGGATTTAATTGAGCACTTTATTGGCAACTAAGCTATACATGATTTAGTATAACTTTCAAGTAAATTATTCGTAATGCTAATTTAAAATATCGACTGAAGGTTGCTTACATCATTTTACAAGGTTCAACTGAAAATTCATGAGCAATCTAAATTCTGTCAACATCCATCCCTTGCTTTTCTTTCAAAGTGACACCCAAACCCCCGGTTGAGGAAAAGCCAACAAAGCCAGCTCCAGAAGAGAGTGGCGCTCCTCCTCAAGAACCAACTGGAGCGAAGGACAAGACACCCCCATCTCCAACCTCCAGCAACAAGGAGCCAGAACCATCACCCCCAACTCCAGGCCCAGGTACGATATTGGAATTAGTTGCAAAATCAAATATGGATACTATATTAAATGCAATCATACGTTCAATTCAAGCCACCATATGCTCCGGTAGGGTCGGGACATTGCCGGTTACTAAAGTCTATCGTAGGGTCATGAAGCATTGTAAAAGTGTGATTTTGTCCTGCTTTATAGTCTTCTGGTCCCATACTTGGCTCATTTTACTGGAACAGGGTGGGACTAATGAACTCTAGGCTGGGTTTGTAGCCGAATAGGAGTAACTTACCGAGCAGTAGGTCAGCTTGTTACCACGAGAAACTACCAACTATGTGGGCAGTGCTGGAGATTAAGGCAGCGTATCTACGTAAAAGTGGGTCATGCTAAAGAAGGAGTTGGCAGCTCACTGTTCTTTAGCTTTCAGCCTCCACAACATTCTAAAGGTTTACGTATGGTTAATTCAGGATGAAAACACTCATTGTATACTTCCTGTGCAAAATGATATACAAAGTTTGTATTACGCTCATAGCAATGGAGCATTCATAGTTTTGATAAAAATTTTAGCTTTCAGAACATTACCGTGGAGAAAAAGGAGTTGATATATATAGTAATCGTTTGAAGACTGATTTAAAATGTATCTTTGCAGAAGACTGTACTCCAGGATGGTCTGATTGGTACGATGAGCAATATCCTGATGAAGAAAACTGGCGGAGATGAGGAATCTTACCAGAAGGTCATAGCCTCAGGGAAAGTGGTTTGTCTGCCTGACTCACCAGTGCAAAACATTGAATGCAAAGCAGAGAGATTCCCCAATACCCCATGGCAGGAATTGGGCCAGACAATCACTTGTGACAAGAATAAAGGACTGAAATGTGTAAATGAGGATCAAGGAGGACTGCCATGTTACAACTACAAGGTCAGATTCTGCTGCTCCAGAGCAGGTGGACCTCCTGCACCAAGTCCATCTTCACGAAGCCAAGGTACATTGGTAAAATGAGTTGCAAAGCACATGGTTAATATATTGATATCATCATATCCACGATGTTTTCTGGGTTAGATCGCATTAATATAAATTAGTTTTTAACTCCGCTACCACCCGACACAGCCAATTAGTAAGGTTTGCGCTCCTCTTCCAGAACCAACTGCATCGAAGGACAAGACACCCCCACCTCCAACCACCGGCAACAAGGAGCCAGAACCCTCACCCCCAGAAGGGCCAGGTGTGATAAATTTTATAAGATTATATATACAGGAAGTATACTGCTTATGATCAAATCAAACAACGGGACTTAATTTGTTAGATCTCAGAAACTAATTAAGACTTGCTTATGGATAGGTGTTGGATAGGTGACAATCTGTGTAACAGATGTCATAGGCTGATTATTTACAATATAGACTTCACAGAGCAGAATGCCACACCTCTTAATTGTGATGTACTTCCATGCTCCCTCATCGGACGTTTAATTAACCCCACTGAAGAGCATGATGAAGGATGGTAAAATAACCCCCCCAACGCAGACACTCTGGGGAGGATTTAATTGAGCAGTGTATTGGCAAACAGCTATACATGATTTAGTATAACTTTCAAGTAAATTATTCGTAATGCAAATTGGAAATATCGACTGAAGGTTGCTTACAACATTTTACAAGGTTCAACTGAAAATGCATGAGTAATCTGAATTCTGTCAACATCCATCCCTTGCTTTTTTTTCAAAGTGACTCCCAAACCCCCGGTTGAGGAAAAGCCAACAAAGCCAGCTCCAGAAGAGAGTGGCGCTCCTCCTCAAGAACCAACTGGACCGAAGGACAAGACACCCCCACCTCCAACCTCCGGCAATAAGGAGCCAGAACCATCACCCCCAGAAGGGCCAGGTGTGATACATTTTACGAGATTATATATACAGGAAGTATACTGCTTATGATCAAATCAAACAACGGGACTTAATTTGTTAGATCTCAGAAACTACTTATGACTTGCTTATGGATAGGTGTTGGATAGGTGACAATCTGTGTAACAGATGTCATAGGCTGAATATTTACAATATAGACTTCACAGAGCAGAATGCCACACCTCTTAATTGTGATGTACTTCCATGCTCCCTCATCGGACGTTTAATAAACCCCACTGAAGAGCATGATGAAGGAATGGTAAAATAACCCCCCCAACGCAGACATCGTGGGGAGGATTTAATTGAGCACTTTATTGGCAACTAAGCTATACATGATTTAGTATAACTTTCAAGTAAATTATTCGTAATGCTAATTTAAAATATCGACTGAAGGTTGCTTACAATCATTTTACAAGGTTCAACTGAAAATTCATGAGCAATCTAAATTCTGTCAACATCCATCCCTTGCTTTTCTTTCAAAGTGACACCCAAACCCCCGGTTGAGGAAAAGCCAACAAAGCCAGCTCCAGAAGAGAGTGGCGCTCCTCCTCAAGAACCAACTGGAGCCGAAGGACAAGACACCCCCATCCTCCAACCTCCAGCAATAAGGAGCCAGAACCATCACCCCCAACTCCAGGCCCAGGTACGATATTGGAATTAGTTGCAAAATCAAGTATGGATAATATATTAAATGCAATCATACCTTTAATTCAAGCCACCATATGCTCCGGTAGGGTCGGGACATTGCCGGTTACTAAAGTCTATCGTAGGGTCATGAAGCATTGTAAAAGTGTGATTTTGTCCTGCTTTATAGTCTTCTGGTCCCATACTTGGCTCATTTTACTGGAACAGGGTGGGACTAATGAACTCTAGGCTGGGTTCGTAGCCAAATAGGAGTAACTTACCGGGCAGTAGGTCAGCTTGTTACCGCGAGAAACTACCAACTATGTGGGCAGTGCTGGAGATTAAGGCAGCGTATCTACGTAAAAGTGGGTCATGCTAAAAGAAGGAGTTGGCAGCTCACTGTTCTTTAGCTTTGAGCCTCCACACCATTCTAAAGGTTTATGTATGGTTAATTCAGGATGAAAACACTCATTGTATACTTCCTGTGCAAAATGATATACAAAGTTTGTTGTACGCTCATAGCAATGGAGCATTCATAGTTTTGATAAAAAAATGTAGCTTTCAGAACATTACCGTGGAGAAAAAGGAGTTGATATATATAGTAATCGTTTGAAGACTGATTTAAAATGTATCTTTGCAGAAGACTGTACTCCAGGCTGGTCTGATTGGTACGATGAGCAATATCCTGATGAAGAAAATGGCGGAGATGAGGAATCTTACCAGAAGGTCATAGCCTCAGGGAAAGTGGTTTGTCTGCCTGACTCACCAGTGCAAAACATTGAATGCAAAGCAGAGAGATTCCCCAATACCCCATGGCAGGAATTGGGCCAGACAATCACTTGTGACAAGAATAAAGGACTGAAATGTGTAAATGAGGATCAAGGAGGACTGCCATGTTACAACTACAAGGTCAGATTCTGCTGCTCCAGAGCAGGTGGACCTCCTGCACCAAGTCCATCTTCACGAAGCCAAGGTACATTGGTAAAATTAGTTGCAAAGCACATGGTTAATATATTGATATCATCATATCCACGATGTTTTCTGGGTTAGATCGCATTAATATAAATTAATTTTTAACTCCGCTACCACCCGACACAGCCAATTAGTAAGGTTTGCGCTCCTCTTCCAGAACCAACTGCATCGAAGGACAAGACACCCGCACCTCCAACCTCCAGCAACAAGGGGCCAGAACCATCACCCCCAGAAGGGCCAGGTGTGTTCCTTTTGTAAGATTATATATATACAGGAAGTATACTGCTTAGGATCAAATCAAACAACGTGACTTAATTTGTTAGATCTCAGAACTAATTACGACTTGCTTATGGATAGGTGTTGGATAGGTGACAATCTGTGTAACATATGTCATAGGCTGAATATTTACAATATGGACTGCACAGAGCAGAATGCCACACCTCTTAATTGTGATGTACTTCCATGCTCCCTCATCGGACGTTTAATAAACCCCACTGAAGAGCATGATGAAGCATCGTCAAATAACCCCCCCAACGCAGACACCGTGGGGATGATTTAATTGAGCAGTGTATTGGCAAATAGTTACACACGATTTAGTATAACTTTCAAGTAAATTATTCGTAATGCAAATTGAAAGTATTGCCTGAAGGTTGCTTACAACATTTTACAAGGTTCAACTGAAAATGCATGAGTAATCTGAATTCTGTCAACATCCGTCCCTTGCCTTTTCTTTCAAAGTGACACCGAAACCCCCGGTTGAGGAAAAGCCAACAAAGCCAGCTCCAGAAGAGAGTGGCGCTCCTCCTCAAGAACCAACTGGACCGAAGGACAAGACACCCCCACCTCCAACCTCCGGCAACAAGGAGCCAGAACCCTCACCCCCAGAAGGGCCAGGTGTGATACATTTTATAAGATTATATATACAGGAAGTATACTGCTTATGATCAAATCAAACAACGGGACTTAATTTGTTAGATCTCAGAAACTAATTAAGACTTGCTTATGGATAGGTGTTGGATAGGTGACAATCTGTGTAACAGATGCCATAGGCTGATTATTTACAATATAGACTTCACAGAGCAGAATGCCACACCTCTTAATTGTGATGTACTTCCATGCTCCCTCATCGGACGTTTAATAAACCCCACTGAAGAGCATGATGAAGAATGGTAAAATAACCCCCCCAACGCAGACATCGTGGGGAGGATTTAATTGAGCAGTTTATTGGCAAACAGCTATACATGATTTAGTATAACTTTCAAGTAAATTATTCGTAATGCAAATTTAAAATATCGACTGAAGGTTGCTTAAACCATTTTACAAGGTTCAACTGAAAATTCATGAGCAATCAAAATTCTGTCAACATCCATCCCTTGCTTTTCTTTCAAAGTGACACCCAAACCCCCGTTTGAGGAAAAGCCAACAAAGCCAGCTCCAGAAGAGAGTGGCGCTCCTCCTCCAGAACCAACTGCATCGAAGGACAAGACACCTGCACCTCCAACCTCCAGCAACAAGGGGCCAGAACCATCACCCCCAAGTCCAGGCCCAGGTACCATATTGGAATTAGTTGCAAAATCAAATATGGATAATATATTAAATGCAATCATATGTTCAATTCAAGCCACCATATGCTCCGGTAGGGTCAGGACATTGCCGGTTACAAAAGTTTATCGTAGGTTCCTGAAGCATTGTAAAAGTGTGATTTTGTCCTGCTTCATAGTCTTCTGGTCCCATACTTGGCTCATTTTACCGGAACAGGGTGGGACTAATGAACTCTAGGCTGGGTTCGTAGCGGAATAGGAGTAACTTACCGGGCAGTAGGTCAGCTTGTTACCACGAGAAACTACCAACTATGTGGGCAGTGCTGGAGATTAAGGCAGCGTATCTACGTAAAAGTGGGTCATGCTAACAGAATGAGTTGGCAGCTCACTGTTCTTTAGCTTTCAGCCTCCACAACATTCTAAAGGTTTACGTATGGTTAATTCAGGATGAAAACACTCATTGTATACTTCCTGTGCAAAATTATATACAAAGTTTGTATTACGCTCATAGCAATGGAGCATTCATAGTTTTGATAGAAATTTTAGCTTTCAGAACATTACCGTGGAGAAAAAGGAGTTGATATATAGTAATCGTTTGAAAACTGATTTAAAATGTATCTTTGCAGAAGACTGTACTCCAGGATGGTCTGATTGGTACGATGAGCAATATCCTGATGAAGAAAACGGCGGAGATGAGGAATCTTACCAGAAGGTCATAGCCTCAGGGAAAGTGGTTTGTCTGCCTGACTCACCAGTGCAAAACATTGAATGCAAAGCAGAGAGATTCCCCAATACCCCATGGCAGGAATTGGGCCAGACAATCACTTGTGACAAGAATAAAGGACTGAAATGTGTAAATGAGGATCAAGGAGGACTGCCATGTTACAACTACAAGGTCAGATTCTGCTGCTCCAGAGCAGGTGGACCTCCTGCACCAAGTCCATCTTCACGAAGCCAAGGTACATTGGTAAAATGAGTTGCAAAGCACATGGTTAATATATTGATATCATCATATCCACGATGTTTTCTGGGTTAGATCGCATTAATATAAATTAGTTTTTAACTCCGCTACCACCCGACACAGCCAATTAGTAAGGTTTGCGCTCCTCTTCCAGAACCAACTGCATCGAAGGACAAGACACCCCCACCTCCAACCACCGGCAACAAGGAGCCAGAACCCTCACCCCCAGAAGGGCCAGGTGTGATAAATTTTATAAGATTATATATACAGGAAGTATACTGCTTATGATCAAATCAAACAACGGGACTTAATTTGTTAGATCTCAGAAACTAATTAAGACTTGCTTATGGATAGGTGTTGGATAGGTGACAATCTGTGTAACAGATGTCATAGGCTGATTATTTACAATATAGACTTCACAGAGCAGAATGCCACACCTCTTAATTGTGATGTACTTCCATGCTCCCTCATCGGACGTTTAATAAACCCCACTGAAGAGCATGATGAAGGATGGTAAAATAACCCCCCCAACGCAGACACTCTGGGGAGGATTTAATTGAGCAGTGTATTGGCAAACAGCTATACATGATTTAGTATAACTTTCAAGTAAATTATTCGTAATGCAAATTGGAAATATCGACTGAAGGTTGCTTACAACATTTTACAAGGTTCAACTGAAAATGCATGAGTAATCTGAATTCTGTCAACATCCATCCCTTGCTTTTTTTTCAAAGTGACTCCCAAACCCCCGGTTGAGGAAAAGCCAACAAAGCCAGCTCCAGAAGAGAGTGGCGCTCCTCCTCAAGAACCAACTGGACCGAAGGACAAGACACCCCCACCTCCAACCTCCGGCAATAAGGAGCCAGAACCATCACCCCCAGAAGGGCCAGGTGTGATACATTTTACGAGATTATATATACAGGAAGTATACTGCTTATGATCAAATCAAACAACGGGACTTAATTTGTTAGATCTCAGAAACTACTTTTGACTTGCTTATGGATAGGTGTTGGATAGGTGACAATCTGTGTAACAGATGTCATAGGCTGAATATTTACAATATAGACTTCACAGAGCAGAATGCCACACCTCTTAATTGTGATGTACTTCCATGCTCCCTCATCGGACGTTTAATAAACCCCACTGAAGAGCATGATGAAGAATGGTAAAATAACCCCCCCAACGCAGACATCGTGGGGAGGATTTAATTGAGCACTTTATTGGCAACTAAGTATACATGATTTAGTATAACTTTCAAGTAAATGATTCGTAATGCTAATTTAAAATATCGACTGAAGGTTGCTTACATCATTTTACAAGGTTCAACTGAAAATTCATGAGCAATCTAAATTCTGTCAACATCCATCCCTTGCTTTTCTTTCAAAGTGACACCCAAACCCCCGGTTGAGGAAAAGCCAACAAAGCCAGCTCCAGAAGAGAGTGGCGCTCCTCCTCAAGAACCAACTGGACCGAAGGACAAGACACCCCCATCTCCAACCTCCAGCAACAAGGAGCCAGAACCATCACCCCCAACTCCAGGCCCAGGTACGATATTGGAATTAGTTGCAAAATCAAATATGGATACTATATTAAATGCAATCATACGTTCAATTCAAGCCACCATATGCTCCGGTAGGGTCGGGACATTGCCGGTTACTAAAGTCTATTGTAGGGTCATGAAGCATTGTAAAAGTGTGATTTTGTCCTGCTTTATAGTCTTCTGGTCCCATACTTGGCTCATTTTACTGGAACAGGGTGGGACTAATGAACTCTAGGCTGGGTTTGTAGCCGAATAGGAGTAACTTACCGAGCAGTAGGTCAGCTTGTTACCACGAGAAACTACCAACTATGTGGGCAGTGCTGGAGATTAAGGCAGCGTATCTACGTAAAAGTGGGTCATGCTAAAAGGAGTTGGCAGCTCACTGTTCTTTAGCTTTCAGCCTCCACAACATTCTAAAGGTTTACGTATGGTTAATTCAGGATGAAAACACTCATTGTATACTTCCTGTGCAAAATTATATACAAAGTTTGTATCACGCTCATAGCAATGGAGCATTCATAGTTTTGATTAAAAAAAATTTAGCTTTCAGAACATTACCGTGGAGAAAAAGGAGTTGATATATATAGTAATCGTTTGAAGACTGATTTAAAATGTATCTTTGCAGAAGACTGTACTCCAGGCTGGTCTGATTGGTACGATGAGCAATATCCTGATGAAGAAAATGGCGGAGATGAGGAATCTTACCAGAAGGTCATAGCCTCAGGGAAAGTGGTTTGTCTGCCTGACTCACCAGTGCAAAACATTGAATGCAAAGCAGAGAGATTCCCCAATACCCCATGGCAGGAATTGGGCCAGACAATCACTTGTGACAAGAATAAAGGACTGAAATGTGTAAATGAGGATCAAGGAGGACTGCCATGTTACAACTACAAGGTCAGATTCTGCTGCTCCAGAGCAGGTGGACCTCCTGCACCAAGTCCATCTTCACGAAGCCAAGGTACATTGGTAAAATGAGTTGCAAAGCACATGGTTAATATATTGATATCATCATATCCACGATGTTTTCTGGGTTAGATCGCATTAATATAAATTAATTTTTAACTCCGCTACCACCCGACACAGCCAATTAGTAAGGTTTGCGCTCCTCTTCCAGAACCAACTGCATCGAAGGACAAGACACCCGCACCTCCAACCTCCAGCAACAAGGGGCCAGAACCATCACCCCCAGAAGGGCCAGGTGTGTTCCTTTTGTAAGATTATATATATACAGGAAGTATACTGCTTAGGATCAAATCAAACAACGTGACTTAATTTGTTAGATCTCAGATCTAATTACGACTTGCTTATGGATAAGTGTTGGATAGGTGACAATCTGTGTAACATATGTCATAGGCTGAATATTTACAATATGGACTGCACAGAGCAGAATGCCACACCTCTTAATTGTGATGTACTTCCATGCTCCCTCATCGGACGTTTAATAAACCCCACTGAAGAGCATGATGAAGCATCGTCAAATAACCCCCCCAACGCAGACACCGTGGGGATGATTTAATTGAGCAGTGTATTGGCAAATAGTTACACACGATTTAGTATAACTTTCAAGTAAATTATTCGTAATGCAAATTGAAAGTATTGCCTGAAGGTTGCTTACAACATTTTACAAGGTTCAACTGAAAATGCATGAGTAATCTGAATTCTGTCAACATCCATCCCTTGCCTTTTCTTTCAAAGTGACACCGAAACCCCCGGTTGAGGAAAAGCCAACAAAGCCAGCTCCAGAAGAGAGTGGCGCTCCTCCTCAAGAACCAACTGGACCGAAGGACAAGACACCCCCACCTCCAACCTCCGGCAACAAGGAGCCAGAACCCTCACCCCCAGAAGGGCCAGGTGTGATACATTTTATAAGATTATATATACAGGAAGTATACTGCTTATGATCAAATCAAACAACGGGACTTAATTTGTTAGATCTCAGAAACTAATTAAGACTTGCTTATGGATAGGTGTTGGATAGGTGACAATCTGTGTAACAGATGCCATAGGCTGATTATTTACAATATAGACTTCACAGAGCAGAATGCCACACCTCTTAATTGTGATGTACTTCCATGCTCCCTCATCGGACGTTTAATAAACCCCACTGAAGAGCATGATGAAGAATGGTAAAATAACCCCCCCAACGCAGACATCGTGGGGAGGATTTAATTGAGCAGTTTATTGGCAAACAGCTATACATGATTTAGTATAACTTTCAAGTAAATTATTCGTAATGCAAATTTAAAATATCGACTGAAGGTTGCTTAAACCATTTTACAAGGTTCAACTGAAAATTCATGAGCAATCAAAATTCTGTCAACATCCATCCCTTGCTTTTCTTTCAAAGTGACACCCAAACCCCCGTTTGAGGAAAAGCCAACAAAGCCAGCTCCAGAAGAGAGTGGCGCTCCTCCTCCAGAACCAACTGCATCGAAGGACAAGACACCTGCACCTCCAACCTCCAGCAACAAGGGGCCAGAACCATCACCCCCAAGTCCAGGCCCAGGTACCATATTGGAATTAGTTGCAAAATCAAATATGGATAATATATTAAATGCAATCATATGTTCAATTCAAGCCACCATATGCTCCGGTAGGGTCAGGACATTGCCGGTTACAAAAGTTTATCGTAGGTTCCTGAAGCATTGTAAAAGTGTGATTTTGTCCTGCTTCATAGTCTTCTGGTCCCATACTTGGCTCATTTTACCGGAACAGGGTGGGACTAATGAACTCTAGGCTGGGTTCGTAGCGGAATAGGAGTAACTTACCGGGCAGTAGGTCAGCTTGTTACCACGAGAAACTACCAACTATGTGGGCAGTGCTGGAGATTAAGGCAGCGTATCTACGTAAAAGTGGGTCATGCTAACAGAATGAGTTGGCAGCTCACTGTTCTTTAGTTTTGAGCCTCCACAACATTATAAAGGTTTACGTACGGCTAATTCAGGATGAAGAGTCTCATTGTATACTTCAATGCAATCTATAGAAACTCAAAACTACTTACCTGTCCTAACAAACATTATTTTGAGAGATATAATATTGAGTGATGATGATGTGTATTATTTTACGCGATACACACCATAATTCACGTATATTTTTTGCAGAATGGATTGTTCCTGCAACACAGCAACCAATTGAGGCTACAAAACCAAATGAAACACCCACCAAACAAGGTAAGGATTGGAGTGTGGTAAGATAGTCTTGAGGCCTGTTTTAATGCATACCAATGGTTTCAATATTTTACAAAATCTGTTTGAATTTCATCACTGATTAATGTTATATGTTTGCAGAAGATTGTGCTTTAGGCTGGTCTGAGTGGTACGATGATCAATATCCTGATGAAGAAAATGGCGGAGATGAGGAATCCTACCAAAAGATTATAGACTCAGGGAGAGAGGTCTGTCTGCCTGACTCATCAGTGGAAAAAATTGACTGCAAAGCAGAAAGATTCCCGAATACCCCATGGCAGGAATTGGGCCAGACGATCACTTGTGACCAGAGCACAGGCTTGAAGTGCTTCAATAACGATCAGGACTATTTGCCATGTTACAACTACAAGATCAGATTCTGCTGCTCCAGAGCAGGTGGACCCCCTGCACCAACTCCATCTAAAGCAAGCCCAGGTACCATTCTGAATGCTAAACTCATTTATTGTGCTGTACGTCCATGCTCCCACGTCTTTTAAATGTACGTTCTTTCAACATCTATATCTTGATTTTCTTTCAAAGTGACACCGAAACCCCCGGTTGAGGAAAAGCCAACAAAGGCAGCTCCAGAAGAAAGTGGCCCTCCTCCTCCAGAACCAACTGCATCGAAGGAGAAGTCACCTCCAACCTCTAGCAACAAGGAGCCAGAACCATCGCCCTCAGAAGGTCCAGGTGTGTTCATTTTGTAAGAGTATATATAAAGGATCTATACTGTTTAGGATCAAATCACACAGAATGTCACTGAATTCGTTAGATGCTAGAAACTAAACATGGTGACGCATGGATGATTTTAGATGGGTGACTACCTGCATAATTGATGTCATGAGGCTGAATATTTCCAATGTGGACTACAGAGGACAAAATGCCAGAAACCTTTATTTTGCTGTACTTCCATGCTTCCCTGTCCATTATTCCCACACTCGCACTAAAGAGAATGATGAAGCACCGTCAAATAACCCCACAAACCCAGATAGCGTGGGAGGCTTTAATTGAACAGCGGATTGGAAAAACTGTACATTATTTTGGAACACTTTCAAGTTGTTCAATTGAAATGCAGATTAAAAGTAACGTCTGAAGGTTGTTTACAACTATTTGCAAGGGGTAATTGGGATTGCATGCGCAATCTTCATTCTATCAACATCCATCCCTTGCTTTTCTTTCAAAGTGACACCGAAACCCCCGGTTGAGGAAAAGCCAACAAAGCCAGCTCCTGTTGAGAGTGGCCCTCCTCCTCAAGAACCAACTGCACCGAAGGACAAGACACCCCCACCTCCAACCTCCAGCAACAAGGAGCCAGAACCAACACCCCCAGAAGGGCCAGGTGTGTTCATTTTGTAAGATTATATATAAATATACCGGCTGTATACTACTTAGGATCAGATTACACAATGTGAACATAATGTGTTAGATCTCATAATCGAATTAGACTTGCACCTGGATGAGGTTGGGATGGGTGACTACTTGTGTAATAGATATCATATGCTAATGTTTAACAATGTGGCTGGAGAGGGCAGAATGCAACGTACCTTTATTGTTCTGTATGTCCATGCTCCCACGTCTAAACAATCTACATTACGTCAACATCGATCCCTTGCTTTTCTTTCAAAGTGACACCGAAACCCCCGGTAGAGGAAAAGCCAACAAAGCCAGCTCCTGAAGAAAGTGGCGCTCCTCCTCCAGAGCCAACTGGATCGAAGGACAAGACACCCCCACCTCCAACCTCCAGCAGCAAGGAGCCAGAACCATCACCCCCAACTCCAGGCCCAGGTACCATGGTGGAATTAGTTGCAACATCACATGTGGATAATATTTGACATACAATCACATGTTCAGTCAAAGCAACCATATGTTCTGGTTGTGCCGGGACATTCCCAGTTTCAAAAAGGCTATGCTAGTGTCCAGAAGCATTTTAAATGTGGGCTTTTGTCCTACTTTACAGTGTTCTGGTCCCAAACTTGGCTCATTTACTGTAACAGGGTATGACTCACAGACTCTAGGCTGGGATGGTAGCAGAATAGGAGGAACTTTCGGAGCAGTAGATTAGCCTGTGTCAGAGTAATCGAGCGACCGTATCTTCGTAAAAGTAGGGGGTGCTAACAGAAGGGGTATGGCAGCTCACCAGGATTTCGGGTTGATACTCAACGAAAATTCAGTAGCTCTATGTACAGTCCATTCATGATGATGACTCACTGTATGCTTGCTGTACGTAAATACATATTTCGCTATACACGCCTACCAACGGCACATTAATAGGTATGATGCATTTTAAAGCTGTCAGAACATTATCTTATAGAAATGTAGTTGATATATACATAGTAACCGTTTGAAGACTGATTAACAATGTATCTTTGCAGAAGACTGTACTCCAGGCTGGTCTGACTGGTACGATGAGCAATATCCTGATGAAGAAAATGGCGGAGATGAGGAATCTTACCAGAAGGTCATAGCCTCAGGGAAAGTGGTTTGTCTGCCTGACTCACCAGTGCAAAACATTGAATGCAAAGCAGAGAGATTCCCTAATACCCCATGGCAGGAATTGGGCCAGACAATCACTTGTGACAAGAATAAAGGACTGAAATGTGTAAATGAGGATCAAGGAGGACTGCCATGTTACAACTACAAGGTCAGATTCTGCTGCTCCACAGCAGTTGGACCCCCTGCACCAACTCCATCTAAAGCAAGCCCAGGTACCATTCTGGAATTAGTTGCAAAATCACATGGATAATATATTAAATGCCATCATTTTTTTTGTTGGATCAGGTGAATGTGTATTTAAATGCACCACCACCTGGCACAGCCAATCAGTGAGGTTTGCATTCTTCCTACAGAACCAACTGCATCGAAGGACAAGACACCCGCTCCTCCAACCTCTGGCATCAAGGAGCCAGGATACTCAAACCCAGAAGGGCCAGGTGTGTCCATGCTCTAAGAATATATATATACACAGGATGTATAATGCTCATAATCAAATCACGCAAAATGCGACTACATTTTTAGATCTCAGAGACGAAGTATGATTGTAACTGGATGGTATGAATGGGTGACCACGTCCGCTAACATGATTCATAAACTGAAAGTTTTAGGCTGCAGAGGTCTGAATGCTAAACACATTTATTGTGCTGTACGTCCATGCTCCCACATCTTTTAAATGTACGTTCTTTCAACATCTATATCTTGATTTTCTTTCAAAGTGACACCGAAACCCCTGGTTGAGGAAAAGCCAACAAAGGCAGCTCCAGAAGAAAGTGGCCCTCCTCCTCCAGAACCAACTCCATCGAAGGAGAAGTCACCCCCACCTCCAACCTCTAGCAACAAGGAGCCAGAACTATCGCCCGCAGAAGGGCCAGGTGTGTTCATTTTGTAAGAGTATATATATAAAGGATGTATACTGTTTAGGATCAAATCACACAGAATGTCACTGAATTCGTTAGATGCTAGAAACTAAACATGGTGACGCATGGATGATTTTAGATGGGTGATTCCCGGCATAATTGATGTCATAAGGCTGAATATTTACAATGTGGACTACAGAGGGCAGAATGCCAGAACCCTTTATTGTGCTGTACTTCCATGCTTCCCCGTCCATGATTCCCACACTCGCACTAAAGAGAATGATGAAGCACCGCAAATAACGCCGCAAACCCAGACAGCGTGGGAGGCTTTAATTGAACAGCGGATTGGCAAAGCTGTACATTATTTTGGAACATTTTCCAGTAACTCATTTGAAATGCAGATGAAAAGTATCGTCTGAAGGTTGTTTACAACATTTTACAATGGGTAATTGAGAATGCATGCGCAATCCTCATTCTGTCAACATCCATCCCTTGCTTTTCTTTCAAAGTGACACCAAAACCCCCGGTTGAAGAAAAGCCAACAAAGCCAGCTCCTGATAAGAGTGGCCCTCCTCCTCAAGAACCAACTGCACCGAAGGACAAGACACCCCCATCTCCAACCTCCGGCATCAATGAGCCAGAACCATCACCCCCAGAAGGGCCAGGTGTGTTCATTTTGTAAGATTATATATATACTAGCGGTAAGTACCCGGCGTAGCCCGGGTAAAAAATCTATTTCAAAACTTCCCTTTAAAACCGTACATATACATACACAGATAGTAAGCTATTATGAAAGCCCTGTGGGCCGTTTGTCCATTTCTCCACCAATGAAATTATAAGAAGCTTGCACAAGTCCAGAAAGTTATAGAAAGTGGGGGGTAAATAGTTGATCTAAAAGGTTTCTGAAAATTGTCGACCCCCCCCTCAAAAATATCTTTACCCCCGCGTAGGTATATATACCCTACATAAAACAGAGGAAGTAGTATCTATTGATTCTGTAGTTGTATCTACTGACTGTATCTACTGAGCCTGTAGTACCTACTGTGTAGTAGTATTTAGTGACTGTAATAACTACTGACCGTAGCAGTATTTACTGGGCCTACAGTAGTATCTACTGACTCTACAGTAGTAACGACTAACTGTCTAGTAGTATCTGCTGACTCTATAGTAGTATCCACTGACTATAGTAGTAACTACTAACTCTAAAGCAGTATCTACTGACTGTATAGTAGTAACTACTGACTCTATAGCAGTAGTTACTGACCGTAGTAGTATCTACTGACTGTGTAGTAGTATTTGCTAACTGTAGCAATATTTACTGACTGTAGTGGTATATACCGACTGTTTTAGTATCTACTAACTCGATATAGCAGTATCTACCAACTCGATAGCAGTATCTACTATTACTACAGCACTGCATACTGACTGTGGTGCTACCTGCTATGATTACAGCAGTGCATACTGATTGTGGTGGTATCTGCTATTATTACAGCAGTGCATATTGTGATGGTACCTGCTATGATTACAGCAGTGCATACTGACTGTGGTGGTACCTGCTATGAATACACCGTGCTGTGGTGGTACCTGCTATGATTACAGCAGTGCATACTGCTGTAGTGGTACCTGCTATGATTACAGCAGTGCATACTGACTGTGGTGGTACCTGCTATGAATACACCGTGCTGTGGTGGTACCTGCTATGATTACAGCAGTGCATACTGCTGTGGTGGTACCTGCTATGATTACAGCAGTGCATATTGTGGTGGTACCTGCTATGAATACACCGTGCTGTGGTGGTACCTGCTATGATTACAGCAGTGCATACTGCTGTGGTGGTACCTGCTATGATTACAGCAGTGCATATTGTGGTGGTACCTGCTATGATTACAGCAGTGCATACTGACTGTGGTGGTACCTGCTATGAATACACCATGCTGTGGTGGTACCTGCTATGATTACAGCAGTGCATACTGCCGTGGTGGCACCTGCTATAAATTACAGCAGTGCATACTGCTGTGGTGGTACTTGCTATTACAGCATTGCATGCTGACTGTGGTGGTATCCTGCTATGACTACAGCAGTGCATACCGACTATGGTGGTTCCTGCTATGATTACAGCTTTCACTACAATAGTACATGCTGACTCTATCTATCTTATATATGAAAGGAAAAGTTGTGAATATGTGTCTGTTCGAAATGTCTGTTCATTTCACCTGAAGACGGCCGCTTGCATTGTGGCCGAAACGTCGTGAGAATTTTATCGTGTTATTTTATTATTTTATTCTCATTCTACGTGACTTTACCGAAAGAATCAAAGAAGATTTTGATTTAAAGCTTTCGTGACTGCAGTAATTCATATTCTTAGCTCTTTCAGTAAAGTCACGTTGAAGGGAAACAAGAAAATAATAAAATATATATAAAACAATAAAAATTCTCACGACGTTTCGACCATAACACAAACGGTCGTCATCAGGTGTGTCGGTTTGCATTAATTTTTTTATTTTAAAACGGTGGATTTATTTCTTTATAAAAAAACGTCAGCGCCACGCGCAGCGATTTGGCAGTTTATTTAGAAGGACTAGTCCATCTATGTTCTGAAAAGAGGAGGGGGGAAACGATACATTAATGTATGCTGTCTGAAAGCCACTGTAAGTGTGAACAATCAATTAAGACCTGAAATGGTTTATCAAATCTTTCCAATGATTGCTAAGCCAGAATTCATCTTCTCGGTTGAAATTGTCTCTGTGCTTGTATATGTGGATAGCCTCATGAACGAATCTCTCATGGTAGCCAGATGGCTTACAAAGAACCTCTGTCTTGGAAAAGTCAATGTCATGTGAGCCTACTGAATTATAACAATGATCCACCACGGCCGAGGTGTTGGTCTTACCGTGTTTAAGGTCTGCTTTGTGTTCACGAATGCGGTCCGAGACATGGCGTTTGGTTTCTCCAATGTAACTACTACCACAGAGGCAACTTAGTTTGTAGACACCAGTGTACTGTATGTCCAGAATCACATCTTTTACAGACAGAACCAGATCACGGATTTTATGTAATGTGTTGAAACGGACCTGGATCTTGTGTTTATTCAAGATTTTGGAGATCTTTTTTGTGATCCCCACAATGTAGGGTAAAGTGATGGTTTTGAAAGGCTCTTCAAGAGGGTCCTTCTTCATGGTTTGAGTGATAGCTTTGCGGATTGTATAGTCAGAGTAACCATTAGCCTTAAGAGCTTGGTGTACGTGCTTGAGTTCACTGCCTATGTGTTCCTGGTCGGATATGCATTGGGCTCTATGATACAGAGTCTTGATGAGATAATTCTTGTGTGATGGATGGTGGTGGGAATCCGGTTTCAGATAAGCATCCATATGGGTAGCTTTCCTGTAGACAGAGTGGCTCATTGAACCATCAGGTCTCTTTTTAATTAGGACCGCATTCGTGAACACAAAGCAGACCTTAAACACGGTAGGACCAACACCTCGGCCATGGCAGATCATTGTTATAATTCAGTAGGCTCACATGACATTGACTTTTCCAAGACAGAGGATCTTTGTAAGCCATCTGGCTACCATGAGAGATTCGTTCATGAGGCTATCCACATATACAAGCACAGAGACAATTTCAACCGAGAAGATGGATTCTGGCTTAGCAATCATTGGAAAGATTTGATAAACCATTTCAGGTCTTAATTGATTGTTCACGCTTACAGTGGCTTTCAGACAGCATACATTAATGTATCGTCTCCCCCCTCCTCTTTTCAGAACATAGATGGACTAGTCCTTCTAAATAAATTGCCAAATCGCTGCACGCGGCGCTGACGTTTTTTTAATAAATAAGTACACCGTTTTAAAATAAATAAATTAATGCAAACCGACACACCTGATGACGACCGTTTGTGTTATGGTCGAAACGTCGTGAGAATTTTTATTGTTTTATATATATTTTATTATTTTATTGTTCCCCTTGAACGTGACTTTACCGAAAGAGCTAAGAATAAAAACCAAAGAAGATGTTTAGCATACTTGCCAACATGCAACCAAATTATATTATCATACACTCACTCACACAACCACTGACCCATTCACTCATCATACACTCACTCATCATACGCTGACTCACTGACACATCATACACTGGGAGTTGCATGCTGCCAGCTATGGCTGCTAGTTTGGTCATACATGTTATTTATATCGTTTATTGTTAAATGAGAATCGCAGTTCCTATGATTACTGTTGTAAAATTGTTTTTGAAGCTTTTTTTTGGTTATTTCGAAAACATATGGTTAATCTATCTTATGGTTGGCATTGTTTGACTTGCATCACACTGGGATTTGAGCACACAGCGTTGTAATACTTTTTTTGTAAGATTTGCTGGTTTATCCATTATGTCTGTTGCGCGTCGTTGCTTCAAGACGATTCCAAAGGAATCTACAACCTTCGATTCCTTTGCGCGATTTAAAGAATCGATTCTTGGCGCGCTCGGGTTCATAGTTCATATATTTGGTATAGCCCTGTGAGCCATTCGGCTCTTGAATCGGGTGCAACCGCCACAAACAAAAAAAAACATGAACAAGAAAACATCTTAAAGTGATTATGTGACTGTGCAAACAGAAAATACAGGAAAAAAATATCAAAATATTCCTGAAATAGCACCGTACACCAACGCTGTGTGCAAAAATCCCAGTGGGATGCAAGTCAAATAACAACAAACACAAGACAACTAAGATTAAGGCCATCAGTCTAACTCCGTACTACAATAAACAAAAACATGGCCAAAACAAAAAAAACTTTTCGAAATCACCAAAATAAAAGCCATAAATCCAATGTAACAGTGATCATAGGGACTGTGACCGAATTTTTAACAATAAACTACATAAATAAATTATAACACCAAAATCTAGAGCCATATTTTAGGCCACTGAATAGCAGTGGCAACTAGGGTTGTACAACTCCTCTAGAGCAGTTTTGAGTGAAGATCTCATAGGTAGTGATTCAAGTTGCAGTTTATTGGCAATAGCATTCCAGACCCTGGGGGCATCAATAGCAAAGGCCCTTCCTCCAGTTTTTGTACGGCAATATGGAATGTGAAGCTGGTAAATGAGCGAAGACCTGAGGTCAAATTTGTTCTTTGAAACAGAGAGGAGATCCAGTAGGTAGTCTGCGGAATTTTTTGTAAGTACATCGTGAATAAATAAGATCTGGTGCACAAGCCGTCGAACATTAAGAGATGTTAAGTTTGACCCAATGTAGAGATCACAGTGGTGAGTCCTATATGGGCAGTTCAATGCAAATCTTAAGGCCGAGTGATAGATGGAATCAAGCTTCTTCAGTACAGTACTTGGGGCTGATTTATACACGATGTCACAGTAGTCAAGTAGAGGCAGTATGGTAGCTTTTATCAATTCCAAACGGAACATTGGGGGGAAGCAGTGCTTGTGTCGATACAGAAAACCCATTTTTATTTTTGTCTTTTTACCAATATAATCAATGTGATCTTCAAAACTAAGTTTTGAATCCAGGATGACCCCAAGATACTTATAGATCTTGACTTGCTCTATTTGATAATTATTCAAGGAATGTAATTTGGGAAAAATAACTTCCTGCTTTAGTCCCGGAGAGAAGCATAGCACCTTGGTTTTGGAGGTATTCAGGACTAGTTTAAGAGA